CGTTGTTGAGGCATGGTGGTTGAAAGTTAACGGAGCGCGTTCCGGTGATGAGGTGGGCCACTCGCTTGGGTGGGCCGCTCGCTTGTGGAGTACGTTATAGTGCACAAAATTATCGATGTTGCCCCAGATTTAATAACCCCTTTCGCGCGAATCACCAGGAAACCAGCCCATTCAGATCGACTCCGCTACTGAATTTTTGGATTGATTGACCTGGTGTATATTGTACATAGATTGCAGAACTCCGCCATAACATCCAGCGCAGCAGCGTCCTCCCCTCCCCTTCCCTTTAGAGGACTGACGTGCTTTGCCCTGCGTAATATAGTTTTAGCAAAGTAACTAAATTTGGTGCCCAACTCCACGCCGTTACAATCAGTAAATATAAAATGGCTCTGTAGTAAAGCCCGCTACTTTACTCTCTCCCCCTCTTTCTAGTAAGGCCCTGTCCTCACATCCCTGATGTTTGCCAAGACTTCCTCGACATTTATAAACGCAGCGTTTCCCCTCGCTCTTTTCAACAAGCATCAAGCGTTCTGATTTTTCTCCTTTTCTTTCCGTTTCAATCTTCTGTCCGTGGCCATCCTCTATCCTGCGCCAACCTCCCCTGCGAATGCAAAACCCCTAGATACTTTAGTCGCCGCAATTTTCTCTGCCTAATATATCCGCTCTGGAAACACGGGCCGCGTCTCCAAGTCATAGATCACAGAAAGTGGTCAGAGGAGTAGACACCGATACAACCATCCAACCATGCCAGCATCCGCAACGGCGGGAGAGAAATCTGCTCAGGCAAATTCAAACTCACATATCAACACGTCCACCTCGCCCATTCCCCAAATCTCGCCCTGCTACCCGCCCTACCCCTCCCTCCCACGTCCAGCAAGCTATCCGTAACAATGCTCTCCCGCACCGCTCCCTCCTCCCCAACTCTCCTCTCCACCTCCCTCGCCCAAGTCTCCGCGGACTTCGAAAGCGGCTGCAACCAAACCGCCCGGCCCATCCACACCCCCCCCGACTGCACCCAAGGCGGCACCACCACCCTCGCCAGCACGCCCGCGGCACAGCGGCAAGCCCTCCCCTCCGCGTCGACGACGCGGGGCGGCCAACTGCGGCCCACATAAGCTTCGGCACGACCTCCATCCCCGCCGGCGACGTTGACGTGGCGGGCGTAAGTAAATGCCCCCCCCCCAAAAGTGACGCCGTTCGAACGCTATTAGGGTGGACGCAACAAACACTCGTATGGAAAGGGGGCTGGGGGCCGCTGCTAAACCCCAACCCCAACCCCATTCCCCTGCAGCAAAGCCTCCCACCGTCCTCACCGCCTCCCACGCCTCCGCCATCACCATGCCCCGACGCCGCGGGCAAGCACGGCCAGCGCGCGCGATCCTGATGTACAGACACCCGCGAGTCGGACGACGCGGCCGGACCTCTCGCCGCGGGGGGAATTGCGGCGTCGACCGCGCTGCCGAGCGGAGAGCTTGCCACTGCTTCGAGGACGACTTGGGCGCCGACGGCAGGGTTGAGGCGTGGTTGGGCGGTGCGGCGGTTGCGGGGCTTACTGTTATGGCGGGGGGTTGCTGATGAGAAACGCCGCGCAGTGGCAGCGGAGCAGCTATGTGCCTAACATCACGGGTGTTGACTTCGGGTGGGAGTCGTACTAGGGGGGGAGGGGGAGGGGGGGAAGCGAATATGTTTTGGTGCGATGATGATGATGATGATGATGATGATGATGTTGTTGTTGTTGTTGTTGTTGTTGTTGTGAGCGGGAGTCGGGTTGGATGCTCGTGAATAGATAAACGAGGAATTCGGTTTTTTGTTTGAGGCGGTTATTCCTTCCCTCCCGCTTATACAAGACTTCTCCTAGTTTTATAGCCCGTTGCCACGGCCTGAGCGGAGTATGAAAGCTCGTTATACCAGCCCACCTAGGTCCAAATTAGCAGTATTTCTAAATGCACTTTAATTCATTAGAAATCTCTTTACCTTTCAAGTCGTAAGAAGTAAAAATTACGTACTTCGCGATTAACTCAAGACTCTGTGTGCGAGAAGACCCGATTCATCTAACTTCCAGAAATTCGGTATTGTTATTGCGCTAACGCCACGTCATCTCAATCAACATGACCCTTCATACTACATTTTTCTACCTCAAAGAGAAACCCAAAATACCCATAAAACCCAAGCCCAAATATCCCAAAACGGCGCCTCACGCCTTTACTTGGGGGGTAGTCACGAAACGCTCGCAGCCATGACCGCTAGATGAGAAAAATCACCACTAAAAACTGAATTGAAAGAAAAAAAAAGGGAAGGATATTCCTACATGCCATAGAGCCAGATTAACGCCTTTGCAAGAATCCTCACGTGTTCGACGTTTGAAGAAAATGGGAAATTCCAACCACCATTTACTCGGACGGAGGAGGCGCACCGCCGTCATGCTCCATCCCACCGTTGCTGACAAGTGTAGGCGCAACTCGCCGCCTCTTACCCGCCCTGTCTTCTGTCGTTGGGATGGCGTCCGCATTACGCTTCACGCTCGAGGCGACGCTTTCTGCGCGTCCGCTCCTCTCGCTCTCGCTTTCCCGCCTTGAGTTGTCTAGTGCGCTGATGCTGGTTCCATCAACCCACGGCGCGCCGCCGACAAAGCCAGAAACGGAGCTGGACGCGCTATGAGTGTTTCCACCACCCTGTGCAGGCGTCATGGGCGGTGTCCACATGGGCATCCCACCTACAGTGCTAGAGTTTGTAGCGGCGACGCTAGGTACAGTTGACATGACGGGGGTAGAGTGATTCAAGACGACACCGTGATCGATGGTGACGCTGCCGCCAGGGCTTGGAGCAACGCCAGATGCGCCACCTGTTCCTGACGCTTGGAGGGAAGAGATAGTTGCCACACTAGAAACAGAGTTGCTCCTAGTCGGGCTCCCAGGTCGAGCTGGAGCAAATGATGATGGAGATGCGGGGAAGCCGGCCGAGGGTTGCTTTTGCATAGGTACTGCGCCTGGCGTTACCGAGGTCGGTATCGATGCTGAGGTCGGAGTTGGTGTTGGAGTAGAGTTGTTCGAGGAAGCAGCATTGGCGGTATTAATGGAAGATGGCGTGTGGTGATGTTTCGCCTGTGATGGCATCGGGCCGTGATATACTTGGCCTAATTCGCCAGGTGCAAAAGTCAAGGCAGAGCAGAATCCATCGGAGGATGACATTAGCAGTGTCAAGCCGTCGTTAGACCTAAAGAAGTTGTCAGCATTAGGGTCTGTATGAGATTGCCTGATTAGATAGTGGGACAAGACGTACCAGCTCAAATCAGTAAAGGTAGAGAAGTGAAGGTTGCTGACGACACACAACGGCTTCTGTTGTTGCGTATCATACACATGAATCGCGTCTTGTGTTGCAACAGCATAGACCATTCGGTAGGGAAGATTGAAAGCCGAAGGAGGTCCAGAAGGTACACTACCTGGAGTGGCAGCATCTGAATCGTAAGGCCTGGGGGAACCAGCGGTCATACTCGGCGATGGCGAAGGAGCACTAGTAAGCGGAGGTGGATCCATTGCTGAGTTAGAAGGAGGCAGTTTAGATGGCAGAGCTGGTTCGGGTAGCGCTGGAATCTCATCTTCGGCAGACGTAGTATCTATCGTGATTTGCTTGGTTGTAAGAATCGGCTGACGGAGTGTGTAGTAGATAGGCGAACATCGCACGGCAACTGAGGGCTTTTTGTGTCCCGGAAGGTACGCGATTGGTGGCTTATTCAGTCCCGCTCTAGTGTAAATGTATACAGTGTTGATGATATCGTCAGATCCTTTGGCGAGCTCGCTCAATGACGGGTGCAGAGTCTTGTACTGTCCGGCTGGTGTGAACAGCAGACTACCATCTGGGGCGAATGTAAGGCGGCGGAAGAAGGATGTGAAAGTCTCATTGGCGTAAATCGGCGCATTCCGAACTCCAACTCCAAGATTTGAAATGCTGGGAGAATTTGGCATCACCGCTGGTAGAGGCATGGACGGGGCTGGAGAAACAGATCGGCGCATCGATGGCGACGAACCAAAGGAAGAGCGGCGGCTATGGGACATCGGCGGTGGGTTCATTGGCAGAGCCAGAGAGTTCGGAGTGCCTGGTGCTGAAGGCACAGGTGATCCGATAGCGAGTGTCGATTCGTGTGTAGGGAAAGAAGCTCGACCTCCGAAGTCTGGAGGCGCCGGACTGTTCGAAGATATTCGCCGGGCTGGCAAATCCATCTTCGAGACTTTGCTATGTTGGGCCAACGAAAAATGACCATCCTTGTTCTTCAGCGTGTATATGTGTACGGATCGATCGGAGGATTGGGTTGCGACGTATTCGTTGAGAGGGTCCCAGGCTACGCCTTGCACGTAATGACTGTGCTCGGCGATTTGTCGAACACAGTTTCCTATACTGTAATTAGTGATGATTCTTCAGGTTCTTGAATGCTGCCTAGCCCACCTGTCTGAGCGTTGTATATCCTCGCAATGTTGTCCATGCTGCCTGTGATGAAGAATGCACCATCCGGAGACCACGCCATGTCGTAAATTTCCGAACCCATGGAGCGGCACATATGCTTGACCCGCCATGTCTCCTTATCTTCTAGACCATCTTCGCCAAATGTAGCCGGATGTGATTGATTCTCAGCGGGAACCCATAAGAGGATGTTGCCGTCGTCTCCGGCACTACCGAGGATCTCACCTGTATCAATGTTAGAAGGAGCAATTGAGAGGGCGAGGGAGGATACATACCCCGAGGGCTCCATCGGACCACATTCACAGCCTGTGTGTGCTTTACGAGGGTGGAAAGATAGATGACTTTTCTCTCATCCCCGGATGCTTCGACCTTCCACAGCTGCTCTACGCATTAGCAGAAGTATCACAGACTTGAGACGCAGAGGTGGGCTTACCCGGACATTGTTGTCTCCTCCAGCAGTAGCTAGACGGGCCTTTCCATGGGGCTCGAAGTGTGCCGAGTATATGGGGGCATTCTCGTTGTGCCAAGAGACGAGGAGCGGCGTAGCCTTCATGGTAGCCGGAGCAGCTGGTCACCAGCCAGGCGAGGGCGAGCAGGCGCTGGGAGGTTGGAATCGAGTCCAGATGAAGAGAGCCGCGTGCAAAGGTGATTGCGTAAATCAGGCGGAGTCTAGGCAGCTGGTGGGTGAGGTCTGGGTGCGGAGAAGGTGGTCGGGCGAGGTGCGGCTGCAGATGAGGGGTGCGGCGGAGAAGAATCACACCAGCACGCTCATGCCTAGCGGGGTGTATGGTGAAGGAGGCTGGATGCTGGAAGCTTGGGCAGGCAGTGTTTGTGGGACAATTGTGCTGTCGATGCGTTCGGAGAGGTGGTGGCAGCTTGGGGGTCAGCCGTCAAGAGAGGCCAATCGCAAGGGATAACACCAAACGAATGGAGCAGCGCGTTGAAAATCGACGCGCTGCTCGATTCGGGCAACGAAGTGGTTTCACCCGCGACGCAGCGAGGCCGCGTGCTTGCTGATGCGACAAAGCCGTGCATACTTTCTAATTACAGTGCTGCTCAGCTCCTATAAGCGTTGGGGCCCGCCGTGAGAACCCGCCGATGCCTTCGTGCCTCTCCGCCGTGCTCCTGATCCTTTGTAGTCATTTCCAAAGTGCGGATTGCCATCACCACGCGACTTTCCCAATAAATCGCATCTGCGTCTTAACCACACGGACTCGGTAATCCGTAACCGCTGAGTGCGGCCTGGCCGCTTGCTGGAGACCTTCAAGACATTCTCTGACAAGCACGCTTGACAAGCACGTCCGCAATCCTCCTTCCCCTCCCTGCTCAAGGCGTGCCACTTGATGCCCCCGACTCATGTATTGATGCTGTCCCAGGCGTCTATTGTGTCTTTCATCGTTATTCATCGCGATATACTCTTAGGGGCAAACTGACCTCACCAAAGTCCATTCCCGCTTTTGAACCTGAGCATACAGGGGTAGTTATAAAACTGAGCAGTGACTAAGTAACCTGAGCTTGTAGCTGTGCAATCCTGAGCAGGTCTTGGCAAGCCTGCGCAAGCCTGCAAGCCTGAGCAAGCTAAGTATTGGCCCGAATCTGGGATAACCGGCGTCCCAGATTCGGGCCACTCCCTGTTTAGTGGCCCAGTGCTTGATATATGGCCCAGTTCTGGCACCAAGTGGCCTAGATTTAGGCCCCTAAACTCGTTTATATCTTCCTTTAACAAGTGCCAGTAAAATAATCTTAATAAGAATGCTGTTCTTAAGCTATGAAAACCTTCAGCCACTAGAAGCGCTCTGTTAGGGGATAAACCCCGGTTTACACAAGTCGGGCTCTGCCCTCGTTAAGCAAGGCTTGGCAGGGAGAACTTCTTCTTTCTTTGGTCAGGAAGCCTTTCTCCCTCTTAATGGATTCTAGTCGTTAAGTAGCTATTGGCCTCACGGCTTATTATTGTTATAGTAAAGGATCAACCCTTACACACTCTTTCTAGTTCCAGCCACGATTTTAGGAGTCTATAGAGACGATTATTAGTTATCCTACGTAGTATTAGCCCCCTAGTCTTAGGGTAGAGTAGAGAAAGTAATATTTATATCAATCTCTATAATGTCTTACTATATTAGTTCATGTTCTCATTCCTATTGCCGAGAAGCTGTTCTGTATCACACATATGGGTATCGGAAAGAATCGTTGCACATGTAAAGTAGTAATGCACAATAGGACGGCTTTGAAACGTGTCTCGGTGACTATAAGCCACCGCTTCTGTCCCTCCACTTCTCCAACAATTCCCCATTGAAAGTCATGTCCAACATGGCGGTGCCGAACTCGTCAATGTCCGCGGGTTCCGCGTCGTCAAGGAGCCTCGCGCACTCGAAGCGCTGCAAGAATGCCACATTCCTTTCCAAGCACTGCTTCTCCCACTCGGTGGCGCTCGCGGCATTCCAAAGGCCGCTGCGGTTCGTGTACATGACGCCGCCGGGGCAGGCCGACCAGCACTGCTGCAGCGCGGAGAAGACGGGGGAAAGGCTGACGGCGACGAGCCAGGTGCGGCGGATGCTCTCTGACAGGATCCACAGGTACCACTGTTGCTGCGAGTAGGTGGACGGCCTTGGTAGACAGCCGACAAGATGCGTGGCAGCGGCGTGGGTGTTTGACAATGCCTTTGCGGCTGAGTGAAGGAGCTTGCCTGCCCAGCTATCCTGGACGGCCATGTGGCCTTCGGCGACGTGGCGGGAGCGGATGTCGCCGTCGAAGAGGCCGATGATCTGGTAGACCATGAGCGCGTGCAGCCTTGTTAGCTGCGCGAACAGGTCAACATCTTGCTCCCCTCTGTCGGCCCACGCCTCCGCGCCAACCCTGTCCAGAATAGCCCCGTTCTCCCGGAGTAAATCGTTCGACCTGTCCTCTACAATTTGGAGGACGGTGTCCGCGTTTGCGGGTGTCCGGTGGATATAGCTAGCCAGCGTGGCATACGCGACCTGCACGCACGCCGGGGAATTCGCACTGTACAGACGGGCATGTATAAAAGGGTTGCTGCTGGTGGTGACCCAGCGTTCGAACCAAGACTGCAGCACCGCCACGTACTTCTTCATCGTTGCTTTGCCAACTGCCACAGCGGCTGAGGTGTCCCGTTTATGGGATATCTTCCACGTCTCGGGCGCAAGGAACCAGTCTTCCCTGGTCACCGGCGCACTGGGCGTTTGAATGAGAGACGACGGGGCAGCGAAGTCACTATCCATGAGTGGGAATTCCAGGTCTAACATAAGGTCGTCTGTAAGGATCAGGTTTGCGGTGCGGGAGGATGTGTTTGCCGTAACCTCAGCGAGCAGTCCATCCTCCACTCTGGGCACCGAGCCTCTCAACGCATCCGACAGCAATGGCCGAGACGAGGAAGCTGTTCTTCTTCTCGGCGGATAGACGCAGGACATGCCCCTATCCGCACATCGTCCGCACGACGGCATCTGCCGACCGCATTTCCGCTTCGACCTTGCGCAGGCGCTGCAGGCGTTTGATTCCGTGTGCGTCGGCATGGTCGAAGGACAAATCCTTTTGGAGTCTTTTTCGGGGGCAGAGCTGGCTCCCGATCTTGTCCGCGGCGGAAGTCGAGGGGAATAGTTACTGTAGGCGCGCATTTGTCATCAGCTGGGTGCATCTCCATGTCCATTGGGGAATCGCCCGCACGCTAACCCGAACGGCGGAAGCCTAGTCCGCAATACACAACACCTCCATTTTGATGATATAAAGGCATCTGGAGTTGCAGTGCAGTCTTTATCGGCCATACAATCGGCGGGTGCTTCTACTAATCAACTCACCATGGCCATACTATTTCGCCACATTTCCATTACGGGAAAAGATATCTTTCTGCCCTGAAGAAACGACAATGCACTCCAAGTTAAACCCTGAGTGTATTTTGTTTAGGAGACCGCGGCGGACCAGAGCCCACCGACATGTAGTAAAGCGGACCTGAACTTGTGTGCGGGCTAGCTCGCGGGATTTCGCACGAATGCCGTGAGGTGGCTCTGAGTATGTATATAAGAAGACTCCAACGCAGACTTACAATCTATATCATAATTCAGCATTCTGCTTTGCATCCCGCACTAAGTCAAAATCACTCAATATGTCCGTATACGTTATTACTGGGGTGTCCAAGGGAATCGGGGTAAGTCTGCCTTATGCCGTGTTACGCATTGCTTGTGCTTAATCCAGCGTAGTTCGAGTTCGTCAAGCAGATCTCGGAGGACCCGAAGAACCTAGTCGTCGGTCTGGTCCGTGATAAGGCTGCGACCGAGAAGAAGGTGGCGGCAGAGCTGGGCGACCGTTCCAATGTCCATATCCTCCATGCAGATCTCACCAGCTACGCCAGCCTAAAGCAAGCCGCTGCCGACACTGCCAAGATTGTTGGCGAGCGTGGCATCGACTACCTAGTTGCCAACGGAGCTTTTTTGTCCCTCTTCGACGCCTATGACCCCATCGGCGCATTGTAGGTCTACTTCCCTCTGGCTACTGTCCGGGCTGGTCTGTGGTTAACGCTATGTGTTCAACAGGGGCGACAAGGTTGAGGAGCTGGAGGATGTTTCATCGAAGGTATTCCAGACCAATGTCGTCGGCAACATCCACCTCTTCAACCTCTTCCTCCCTCTTGTCATGAAGGCCAAGGTCAAGAAGGTCATCACCATTTCCAGCGGTCATGCCGACCTCGACTTGATTAACGATCACGAGATTGAGATAAGTGCGTTGTATTCCGCCTCCAAGGCGGCCATGAACGTCATTGTGGCCAAGTTCAACGCGCAATACAAGAAAGACGGTGTGCTCTTCGTGAGTATCAGCCCGGGAGCGGTAGAGGTGGGCCACTATGCGAATGGCACGTATCCCTGTCTTCAAGATTGAAACATCTGGACAGTTTACTAATGCAGACCCACAGCTACTCCAGAACAGGTCCAAGGCTTGATGGAATCCATGCGCAAGTTTTCAAACTATGCCCCTCACTTCAAGGGCCCAACCCCTGTAGACGAAGCCATCCGAAATATCAGGTCGACCTGGGAGAGGGCCAGCATCGACAGTGGGTATGGTGGTGCATTTATCTCGCATTTTGGAAACAAGCAGTGGTTATAAACCTAGGGTCCCGATACATTAGACCAGATACACTTATTGATGTAGGTGTACGCTACGCGTGCATCCACGTACACTCCACGAGACCAAGTTATATGTCAATAAACTCAATTTCAGATTTCCATTGATGTAGTTAATGTAACTAGGTGTACCAAGGTTCGATTTGCTTCCCTAAGTACCCAGGCTTCCGGAAGGGTTATAGGGTAAGACGCCGCCATTATCACCACCGCCACTACCGCCACGCTCAACAAGCAAGGGGAGACGCGTGTGATCTGAGACACGCATGGCAGGGCCACCTTAGCACCGTGCAATGTTTCCGCACGCTACGAGCCCCAACTTTCGATATAGTTACTCCCAGCGGTACCACCGTCGTGAAAGCTCGGCATAGTTTAACTTGTCAATGGAGCAAGTGTCAACCCAGAAGTACTACAGGTTATCGCGTTTGGCTTGTTCTGCGCTTGTCATAGCCACTCTTGCTCTTGCCAGTACCATCTATCAGATCTTTGAAAGTCACCTCTTGATTCTCAACCCAAGCGCGCGACAATATTGCTTAAGGAGGGATCGTATCATTGCCAATGAGATCTCTCGTGAGGCTGACCTCGCGTGCATTGTTGCACTGCAACAAACGCATACCGTCTCGCTCCGCAAGGCGAAGGCGGCGACGGCGACGGCGGCTGTGCACCAGTCTCGCCACATGTGTCAGTGGACTATATTAACGACAGCTTGTCTTAAAACTAGGTATCAAGCTATATTTGTGAGCGAGGACAAGATTATAGTAACTCGTTAGCTATAGGTGCAGGCCCTGTGCCAATACGGGAGCTAAACGAATGACAAGGCTAACAAGCTTGGTAAAATTGTATATAAGTTAAGTTAAATTAGTTAACTACACTAAGATGGTTATATAAGAAGGACGAGCTTAATTACTACCTACTTTTTCTCTCCGTATCACCTCCCTTTTCTCTTGCTATAACCCTCCCTAGATTTAGCTTAGCTCCGGCCCGCAACAACTTTGTCCCACCAATTCGAAGCTTTAAATCTGCAACGCCACGAGAGTATACCAGCCTGCCACCTGCCATTATATTTAAAACAGAACGTGCCTAGATAGCTAAGCATTTAGCCTAAATAGCTTGCTTTTATGGCCGGGCCCTTAACTATAAACTACCTCCTTCCTAGAAGTAGATAGAGGCCCTTTCTAGAAAGATAGTAGACCTTATGCTCTCTTCTATAAATGCGTGGCAGTCCTAGTGGCACAGGCTAGGGGGGTATAGTACGTGGTGAGATCACGCGGGTTAACGTAGATTCCGTACTAAAGCTTAGTGGCTCTGCTTCTAATTGGTGAGACAAAGTTGTTACAGGCCGGAGCTAAGCTAAATCTAGGGGGGGTTATAGCAAGAGAAAAGGGAGGTGATACGGAGAGAAAAGGGGAGTGGTGTCACGGCTTGAACGGTGAAGCTTGCTGCACAGCGTAACACGTGATGTTAGGACCCGGCGAGAGGCCTTGTTGCAAGGGCCTATGCGAGCCTTGGCAGGAGTATACCTGCCGACCGCCGCCCTGCCTCCTTGTAGCTCCTTGAGCTACGTCTTGTTATTCAACCCGCCTGCCTGCCGTGCATTATAGAACACGTAGTGAATTCAGTTATTACTTCTACCTACCTGCCCGAGCTAGCTAGGGCAATCCTGCCGCCCGAGACCGTGACAAGTGGTAATTAAGCTCGTCCTATTAGAGAGCCTAGTTCTAGGCCACCCCTTTATAGTGTGGCCTATTTCTGGGCTTTATTGCTAGCTCACCCCTGTAGTTATCTTTCGCGTAGAGTTGACAGAAAACTATAACAGGATGTCTATAATTGGGCTAGCTAACGGCGCTAGGATAGAAAGGTGAGTTGAAAGTGAGCACCTTGAGCTGTGGCGGTGTAAACTGAGCAGAGTGTGAGCCGAAGTTGAGGCCGGCGTTATTTTGCTTATAAACTGGGAATACGGCGCTAATCAAAAGAGGAAGTGGGAGGAGGTCAGTTGGTCGATAATATACGCGCGAATGTGGCTGAGCTGGTCCGCTTTGTTGCGCCTCCGGAGCTCACTTCCAGATCTCACTCCTTGGTTTGTTCCATCCGCCCGTCATGGCAATGCACACAGCAACAGAATCTAGCGTCGTGGCTTTGAAGATGGTTTCATACTGTTCCGTCTTAAGCCGCCTGCTGTAAGGCTGTCGCGCTACGCGTAGAAAAGCGATGCTCGTGATGGATGCGTAAAGGACAAGTAGTAAGTGGTACCGGTACAAGTATGCCGGAGAGTGCTCAGGTTTTGAAGTCATGTCGGTTATAGCCTGCCTTCTTGGTATGCTTCATCGATAGCGATATCATTTGAATTGGGAGCACAGGTACTCCAAGTCAATGACGACGAGACCATCACGTGACGATCGCGCCTAGCACCACTAGCATCCATCCTCTAAACCCGATCAGAATATAGAAGTCAGACTCTCCGATTCTTCAACAAACCCCAGAAACAAGAATTAAATAGATCCAAAAAAGTTGAGCAAACACATATCCAAGATCCCCTTCTGCAAAACCATCACCCTCTCAAACCCATCGTGTGTAGACCACCAGTACCCCCTCAGATCTCCCGTACCACCCCTTCTCAAATATGTACTCCCTCTCCACCATTCAGCCACCACCCCGCAACAACGGTCGCCATCACCGTCGTACCAGCCGCGTGGCCCCACATCTTCGCTTTCTTCCCATACTCCCACACCACCGCCGCATCCACCACCCCCGTGATAACGTGAGCAGTCATCAGCGCCTTGGTGCCAGCGTAGTTGCGCTGCCACGCGAGCAGTCCATATGCCACGCCCATAGTGAGGTCGCGGACGCCTTGGAGGCTCCAGACTGGAGTGGTGGTTTCGGCGGGAAGGCCGAAAACATCGGGGTGCGAGGGCGAGACGAAGGTGAAGAGGCCTGCGGATGTGAAGGCGAAGCTGAGGAAGATGGATGTTTGGAGGGTGCCGGTTGGGCCGAGGGTAAGGGGAAACGGCATGCTTGGAGAGATATGGTCCAAAAGGGTGCCTGCTTATGTTTCTGAGGTTTAGAGGTACGGATTCGGAGAGGCGGAATGATGATATCCGAGTTAGTGGTTTCCTTGCGATTTTTACTATAAAGCCTCACAATAGAGTAGCACAGGACTCGGTTGAGGGGTTTACGAAAAACTGAATGACTTCTTGAGAGGTCGGTGTAGGCACTAGGTTAGGTAGGCCATGCGTTGGAGCACAGCCACGAGTCATTTTTGTGGCTGGGTGACTCACGCAGAGTACCACACCTATATTTGAGCGACTTCTGTTCAACAGTCAATGGTACCTCAAGATTAACGATTCCAATAACTTAAGATTGGCTTTCGTGTTCTTAAATGCAACCTCAACCAATGTCGTGGGCAGCCGTCGTTGGCAAAGCGACGCCGTCAACTCCCCAACAGACAGCCTCAATAACTCAAATACCCTCAAATGCTAGAATCACGTCAGCAGAAATCTCTCCTAAGTCAAACTCAAAAACGAGTCTTCAGGCCCCAGCGATCGAGGCAGTCCCAAAAGGCCCAGCAAATGGTACGCGGCCACTGGTCGCCTTCGTCTCGGGTCACATCGACATCACACCCGTCCAATTCCGCGCACAATACGCATCAGCCATCGACACAGCTATTGCACGCGGCGATATATTCGTTCTGTCTAACGCTGGTGGTGTTGACACGATGGGCCTAGCCTACCTCCGCGACCACGGGGTGTCTCCAGACCGAATCACAATATACATGCACACGCCGCGGTCAAACCGGAAATTGCACGCCACGCAAATTCGAATCAATGCTATGAGACTAGGAAAAGATGTTGAGGAGAAATATGAGAAGGAGGGGTATGGAATCAGAGCGGTTCAGGGGTATCACAATGAGAGGGACGCTGCGATGACAGAAGAGAGCGATTACGACATCTTGTGGGTGAGGGATGAGGCGGATACTGCGAAACTGTATGGGGCGAAGTATAGGCCGGGCAGAGTGAGTGGGACGCAGAAGAATAAGAACAGGAGGGTGGTGAAGGAGAAGAGAGCAGAATGAGTAGATTTGAGGTAGAACGACTACATTGTTGGAACGCACCGTATTTCGCATCCACAAGATTTGAGGGTCATACATCTACATGCTATATCTCTGGCTTGTAACCGCAGGGAGACTTGATGGCTTATCCATCATGAAAATCAGATGATGCAGGATTGAAGTGGGCTGTGGCTGGGTGGATGCCCACCCCACTTCTATGGCACGGACCCCAGCGCTTGCATCAGAACGGGAAGTCCTCGGTTCTTCTAACAGTACCCTCACGCCGCCCTCTACTTCTAACCTCCTTTCCGTCTCCCCGTCAAGGAGAGATGCGTTCTTCCCTACTCCACTATCTTCAACACCATCTTCGCTCGCCGTACCTCCCCGATGACCCTCACTTCCGGGTGACCCGTGGCAGATGACCAAACACCAACACCTAGCCTATTGCCCGGTGATAGCGGGGTCAAGATAACCTCCTGGAGTGACCCCCGTGCGATCACCCCTGAGCTCGCTCGCGAATAGCGTGAAGACTAGATTGCCTTCCGTCTTGGGTAGTACTGGACCATGGCATGGCTAGGGTTACATCCTTATATCGACCTTCACTCTTTGCGAACGTTGCTTCATAGCTTCGAGTTTTATCTGTCATTGGTCAGACGTGGTTCGCCGGCGGGTACCTGCAACTCTACTGCACCTTCACCTATCGCGTCCTCTCGCCTACAGCCTTGCCAGACTCCACCTCGGCCCTGCGGATCGTTACCGTAACCCGCAGCTCCTAACACCATCTCCAGGCTTTTACCAGCCTGCCCTGCATGAGCACAGCAGATGTCGCCGAGATGAATCTCCGGTTCACGGCTCCAGAAAACCCCAATTGCCGGGCCCTATCCCACCCCCAGAGCAGCGCCGGCGGCTACCTAATCTCCTGACCTTATCTAGTCCTACAAGCCTGATAGCAGAGGTGTGTCTTCCACGGGTGACCCTTCGCAGGGATTTCTTTGCAGTCATTCTTTGTTTCTCGTCACGTTCGATTCTTTAGAAGATTTCCGTTTGCTAGCAATTGAAAGTTGGAGGTAGACCTGAGGGCAGCTGCCGAGGCACAAAGCATGTAAACTGGACCTAAATGTGATACCACTAAGTCTTCGTTGCTTCCTCGTCGCAGCAGAACACTATCAGCTGCTTCTCATTCGTGTTTGTTCCTTTGTAGGCCCCTTTCATACCCCCGCCCAATCACCGGCATCCAAACGCTATGGTCAAACGCCGCTATGCTATTCGGGCACTGTCTATCAAACGTCACTTAATATATTTCTCTTCCGTCCCTGGGAGACTCCTTCTCCATGCACTCCACCACACCTAGCTAGGTATAGGAGAGGATAGTGTGCAACTTTATCAAAGACTTGCAGGGCGCGATAGCCCATGACCATAACCACGCGTCGCGCGTCGTGCATACACACCCCAGAGCATATCTCAAGTAGCGCGCAGTGTTACATCTACAGGTACCCGGGACACTGAACACTCATCCTGGGCGTTTAGAGCTGCTCTTGTTGTCAAGATAGCTTTACTGCCGGTGCAGTGGAACAGCGCCCTCACTACTTGTGGCCTTGCGATGTCACAGCGTCCGGGCCGTTGCGAAGCGCTATGGCCCCTTTCCGATAGCGGCAATGCTCCAAGTGGGCAACACAGCAGAAGATCACAATGTTGTCGCAGCTCTGGCAGCCACCGTAGAGGTACGCCCACGTTCCATGTAGCACAGTGAAGGGACCTTAAAGTGTTGCATCACTCCAGTGACGGCTCTACCACGGCGGATGGCCACCCGTGGCACGCAGCCACGCGACAGTGGCATTCGCCTGGCTCACATAGCTATATAGACTATAAAATCTCCTCGCTATAACTTCCTTTCTCCAACAACGACAGACCTCCTCCAAATCGACAACCCTACACGGAGATTAAGATGCGCTTCGCCTCCGCTCTGTTCATTGGCCTCAGCTGGCTGGCCCTTGCAGCGGCGCTCCCCACTACTTCTGTCCGCTCGGTCCGATCCGAGATCGAGGATCGTGCCGCCTCTGGGCTTAGGTCTGTGGCCTACTTCGTGAACTGGGTAAGAGAAGCACTGATCTATGCTCTCGGAACCTTGTACTAATCACTTCTTTGTGCACTCATAGGCTATTTACGCTCGGAATTTCCAGCCACAGCAGCTTGATGCTTCGAAGCTGACTCACGTTCTCTACGCCTTTGCCAACGTCCACCCAGACACCGGGGAAGTCTATCTCTCAGACACCTATGCCGACACTGACAAGCACTACCCTACTGACTCTTGGAACGATGTTGGCACTAATGTCTATGGATGTGTGAAGCAACTTTTTCTTCTCAAGAAGCAGAACCGGAAGCTGAAGGTGCTTCTCTCCATCGGCGGCTGGACTTACTCATCGAATTTCCCGGGAGCTGCCTCGACAGACGCCAATAGGGCCAATTTTGCTTCCACCGCTGTAGGCTTTGTCAAGGATCTCGGCTTCGATGGTACGTACATTTTTAATCGCAAGGTTGACTTATCTGACCAGTGAATGTAGGCATTGATATCGACTGGGAGTACCCTTCAAATACCACTCAGGCTGCCAACATGGTCTCACTTCTTGCAGCTGTCCGATCGGTAAGCCCTTGATTGCAAGACGAAGAAATCGATGCTGACGAGTTTCAAGGCTCTTGACAGTTATTCCTCGGCAAATGCTGGCGGCCAGCATCTTCTACTCACAGTCGCATCTCCCGCTGGTATACCGCACTCGAATCCCTGCCTGGCTATCCATGGCTAACAGCATTAGGTCCTGCCAACTACCAGCCTATGAGTCTCAAGGCTATGGATCAGTATCTTGACTTCTGGAACCTCATGGCCTACGACTATGCCGGTTCCTGGGATACCACGTCGGGACATGACGCCAACATCTACCCGTCCACTAGCAACCCGACTAGCACTCCATTCAATACCGACCAAGCGATCGCGTACTACACTGGAGTCGGCATCGCCGCTAACAAGATCGTCATGGGCATGCCGCTCTACGGCCGTGCATTCGACCAGACTGACGGTATTGGAAAGCCGTACACAGGCAACGGAGCTGGTACTTGGGAGGCTGGAGTTTACGACTATAAAGCGTTACCGCAGGCTGGCGCAACCATCATGACTGACACCCAGGCTGTTGCGAGCTACAGTTACGATGCCTCTAAGAGGTTCCTGGTTAGCTATGACACTCCCGCCATTGCCGTCACCAAGGCAAATTACATCGTGTCCAAGGGGCTCGGTGGAGGCATGTGGTGGGAAAGCAGCAGCGACAAGAATGGGACCGACAGTCTCATCACAACAGTAAGTTTTGACAATCACTACGTTATCCCGGCATTACTGACAAAATCTACAGGTCGTGAACCAGTTTGGTGGCATCGGTGTCCTCGACTCCAGCAACAACCTACTAAGCTACCCCGAGTCTAAATACGACAACCTGAAATCAGGATTCGCCAGCGGTTGAATCGTGGTTGTTTCCCAACGCGGAGCCTTCAAGGTTCTCCTGCCTGGGTGGGACATCTAGGGGGTCAAGGCAAACCGCCGAGATATCATTAACCTCTTAACGAGGTCATGGGACTTGTCTTGTCCATGTCGGACTTCCGAATTCTTGTTTCTACTTTTGCAAGGGATTGCTGGGCGCAGCCCTGAATTGGCTTGGTGCTTCCCTTTCAATGTCTATATTTGGGGAATTTAGTCAGAGGCCTAGTTGATGAATATTCCTATTATTATTTCTTCTTGTCAATATTTGGTAGCGAACATGAAAGAGAGAGAATAAATGATTGTGGAAATTCTGCAAGTTAGAGTACTTCCACTGATTGAATCGAATCGATGCCACTGATTAATCACGTGAAGTCAGATCGAATCCTGTTAGCGCAGCAGGTCACCTAGCTAGCTAAGCTCCTTCACCAAACTTCTCCATCTTCGCCAGTGCCTGCAAAAACATGATTCGGACGTGAAATCTATATGCAAGGCTAGTTCTAATCGGGCCTACGAGTTTGAGTAGCGGGGCACGCCATAAGTTTTTCTTTGCACCCACGGCGGGGTCCTCGAACTACACGACACCTTATCTACAGCTCGTAGTCTTACATGAGCATGTCGGATATCCTTCGTCAGTAGTGCATCTTCTATCTTCAGCCATTACAAGGGCTTATAACACATCTCTGCCCAATGTTACACACCAAGGCCTAATCAGTTCGTTCCATAAGCGCTACTGGCTCTTCGAGTAGCAATCACTACGGAGGCTTGGGAATAAGAACAGAAAGTTATCAAAGATTTACAACAACCGGTTCTGAACAACTTTACAACGACTAGCCGTTGGTTAGTTTTGGTCGATTTCAATCATTCTCATTATGTCTATCAGAAACATCAGTAATGAAGTTACGGCCACTCGCAATATGGATCATGGACGTACAGAGAAAGACGCTGCTACTATGACAGCTCTGGACTTAGTGGGCGAGGAAGCACGATCCGTCGATGCCTCAATCAAACAACGAGTCCTGAGAAAGATCGACTGGTTCCTGATGCCGGTGATGGTGATTGGTATAGAAGCTCTCTTGCGCACTTTATTACTTCACGCGACTAACTTAATGCCATAGGATACGGCTTAGTCTACTACGATAAGGTATATCGCGAGATTCAACTCATTGCCTACGCACTCTAACCCAAGTCCCGCCTTCAGGCCATCCTCGGCAGCGCTGTCCTCTTCGGCATGACCGCCGACCTCAAACTCTCCGTCAAAAACACCTCCGTCAGCCCCCCAACCACTGACACCAGCCGACTCAGCTGGGCAACATCCATTTTCTACTTCGGCCAGCTCATCGGTTCATACCCTATGACATACAGCCTCCAGCACTTCAGCACGCGCCAAGTCCTCGGCCCCGTCGTGATGCTATGGGCGGTAATCTGCGCATCCACGGCGGCCGTGACAACATGGCAAGGCCTCCTAGTCCAGCGCTTTTTCCTAGGTACGCTCACCCCCATTTCCGACGAACAGTTTGGAGAACAGCGAGGATAACGAACTTAACGTAGGCGTAACCGAATCCCTCATCCCGACCGCCTTCATGACCATTATCAGCGGCTTCTACACCCAATCCGAGCAAGCCTTCCGGCAGAGCTGGTGGTTCTCCGGCACGGGGTGGTTCACGATCATCGGGGGCGGGTTGAACTACGGTTTCGCTAAAATCGACGGCGGGGCGCTGAAGTCGTGGCAGTACATCTACGTCCTCGCGGGCGGACTGACGTTCCTGTTTGGGATATGCTGCTTTTTCCTGCCGAATTCGCCGCTGGATGCGTGGTTCCTGACGCCTGAGGAGCGGATCGTGGCGGTGGAGAGGCTGAGAGCGGGGCAGACGGGGATCAAGACGAGGAAGATTAAGAAGGGGCAAGTATGGGAGGCGTTTTGCGATGTGAAGGTCTGGCTTATTGCGTTGATCATGGCTTCGGCGTAAGTGTGCTTCCAGTTGCGCAAACCATCATCTTGCTGACGGAACAGTTATACCGTGAATGGCGCCGTAGCTGGATTCGGCCCCCTAATCGTCTCCACATTCGGCTTCTCCTCGTACGAGAGCATAATCTTCCAGTTTCCGCTCGGCGCTGTCTGCGCTATTGGGATACCGTTGACAGGGTGGCTTTGCTCGCGGTACCGCAATATTCGGATTCCAACGCTTTTGCTCTGCTGTCTGCCCGTTATAGCAGGTTTCGTCATTATCTGGAAGTCGAAGTGGGGCCATCGCCCAGCTGCGCCGGTGGTTGGGTACTCGCTGATTGGGTTCTTTGGACCGGTCGTGGGTCTGATAGTTGGGCTGGGGGCGGGAAATATTGCTGGTGAGACTAAAAAGAGTTTCATGGCTTCGGCGGTCTTCGTGGCGTATTGCGTGGGCAATATTATTGGGCCGCAGTTGATTAAGAGTCAGACGAAGAGCGAACATTACCCTGAACTGTGGACGGGGCTGATTATCTGGTGAGTAGACGAGACGGACCCTCCTGACCACAATCTGGGAAAGAACTGACCGCTGACTTTGCTCATAGCTATTGTATTACCATACTGTTATCATCAGTGCTCTACGTGCTATTGCGTCGCGAGAATAGGAGACGTGGCCGTTTGGGCTTGGATGAGCGCGAGGGCGATCGGATGGCATTCAAAGATTTAACGGATAAGGAGAACTTGCACTTTAGATACGTATACTAGGTACCGTATATCGATTCAGCCTTTCTTGAAGAATACAAACCCCCCTCTATCAATAAACTCCTCATACAACGAAAATCCCCGCAGCCTTTGAAAGGCCACAGTATACTCCTCTTTCTTGATAGTGGTGATGCTCTTCATCATCTCCAGTCATCTTTTTTGAAGAAATCGCAAAAATAAATCCCCCCTCGCTGCGAATCGAACTCCGGCTTGTCGACGGGGTCCCCAAAAAGAAGAATCACGGAGCAAAAGTTCGTCGGGCCGAGCCCTGCACTACATCTTTGTCGTGTGGAGGTCGTGTTACACCAGAGGCTGGATTCCAACCCAGCCATCGGGGCGACTTACGTGGTGCCCCCGGACGGGCACCGATGGCGCTATGAGGGAGCCAAGGAATTTTTGGAAATATATACCTGGGGAGATTGAGGGGAGCTATGTTTACCTGCTAAATCGCGTTTACTTGATAAATCACGTTCACCTGCTGAATTACATTCCCCTGATGAATCACGTTTACCTGCTAAATCACGTTTACCTGCCGAGTCATGTTCACTGATATGACAGTTCGTGAGTTGCAGGGAAGCGATCTGTGAAATCGAGGTGATGAATGGAAGTTGAAGCGGGCGTGAGGTAATCTAAATAGTCACGTGCCACTCTTCTAACGGTTTGCCAAGATCTCGAATCTCGGCGGAACCTACCACTTTGCAACGTTCATTATCAACACCACTCCTCACAATCATGTCTCTCGCTGACTACCTCGCAAAGAACTACCTCACCGCCGACGCGCCCGCCAAGAAGAGCAAGAAGCGCAAGCGCAAAGGTGGCAAGCATGACGAAAATGGTCTCATTATTGCGGACGACGACATCACAGGCTGGAATGAGAAGAAAAGGGCCGACCAAAGCGATGATGAGGCACCCGTGATTGGTATGTATACTCTCTCTCTTTTCCTGTTTATCTTGCCCAGCACTTATCCCCCAAAGCTCTAGGATAATGTGCGACTAGTACTAACTACAATTACCACAGTCGGCAGCACCATAAGCTCAACACCTTCCGCTACCTGGAAAACCGTCGGCGCCGCTGCCCCTTCCACGAAATCTCAAATTGCTCGCGACAATGCCGCCGCCGCGGACGCCATAATCGCCGCTGCAGCGGACTCACGGACCGCCGCTGAAGCCGCCGAGGACGAGGCCCCGGAGATGCTGGATACAGAGAACATCCTGAAGATGGAGAATGGCGCGCATGCTGGGCTACAAACAGCCGCGCAGGTCGCGGCCGCCATGAAAAAGCGCCAAGAAGAGGACAGAGCGAAAGCCGCCGACGTGGCGCGCGAGACAGGCGCTATAGGAGCCGGAGAGACGATATACCGTGACGCGTCCGGGCGGATCATAAATGTGGCGATGAAGCGAGCGGAGGCGCGACGGGCGGCCGAGAAAGCGGAAAAGGATAAACTAGAGGCAGAGAAGGCCGCGAAGGGCGACGTACAGCGGCTGGACGCCGAGAAGCGGAAGAAAGACTTGCAGGATGCGAAGTATATGAAGTTGTCGAGGGGCATAGATGATGTGGAGTTGAATGATGAGCTGAAGGAGCAGGATCGGTGGAATGACCCTGCGGCTGGATTCGTGAAGAGCAAGAAGAGTGGCAAGAGCAGGACCGGAAGACCGCTGTATAAAGGTGCGGCGCCCCCGAATCGGTATGGAATCAGGCCTGGCCATAGGTGGGATGGGGTGGATCGAGCAAATGGGTTTGAGGGGCAGTGGTTCAAGGCGAGGAATCGCAAGGGGGATGTGGCAAAGATGGAGTACGCATGGCAAATGGATGAGTGAGGAGGACGTTTTGCTCAGGGTGATCTTCACATTTCCATGGCCTCCATAGGTTTCCAATGGCGGCTGCTGCAAACAAACAGCCTGTGTGCATTCAGAGTCGCGGTCCCCATTTCCATGGCATGCGGATCAAGCTGCAGGTCTGTCTGACAACAATGTCTACCGAGGACAATATCAAATAGCTCTTCACGCTCATCTGGCCTAAGTGTTATTTCAAGGAAGAGAGCAGGCCGACGTGAATCCAGACATGGCAGAAATCATGGGGGATGCTGGTAATGAATTCGTATTGAAAGCGATATCAAAGCGTAATATACTTGCTAGCAACTACCTCACTCACCTGCGTCATTCGATTGCAATTGCATTTCCTGTTACTAACGCCAAGGCTCTCGCTACTCCTCATTCGTTGAGGTACAGACAACTTCAAAAGCAAATACACGATCATTCGGTCGTTTGCAACGGCCAGCCAACTACATCATCGCTTGTGGTTACACAAACAGTACATCGCTTGCAACCGGGCTTATCAAACCCCGCTCTCGCAGTGGGCAGACAGTTTTGAGATATAAACCACTGAAGCCCAGAAGCTCAACATGAAAAGGCTACGGAATTCGCGATACTGGTACAGCATGTTGCCGGGCAAGGATTCGGAACCAGTTGTCTCGGATAGCCGCGTTGATGGGGACGAAGATGCGGAAACCGACAGCGAATCAGACGAACGGCATCGACTGTTGCACCAGAGCCGCAAGACGTAAGTATCCGCTTCATCATGTCACGGGCGTCAGCCCATCGCTGACTGTGATAGATACTGGGGTTCGCTGGGATGGAATCTCGCCGCAGCCTTATTGCCGGCGCTGTATTCAACTCTTAGCAAACTCTGGGTCGCAAACCTTGATGCTAGCCATGTCGTCACTACCGATGTGTACACGTACATTTCGACCGTCGCAGAGGTTCTGAACGAAGGCCTTCCACGAACAGCGTGGCTCATCATCGGCGATGAAGACAATCGCTCTTTACGATCCCGGATCAGCTTGTCGTACACCCTCGTCGTCTTCCAAACCCTCATGGGCCTCATCATGTCGATTGTCTTCGTAGCGGCTGCAGAGTCCTTCGCTGCGTCGTTCGTTCCCAGAGAAGTCCGGCAATCGTCCTTGAACTACGTCCGCGTCTCAGCACCAGTTGCGCTCTCTTCCGCTATCCAAGTCGCCGTCTCCTCGTGCACACGAGCGCTGGACAAACCAGATGTGCCTTTCGTCATCAGCTTGATCGGCGTGGTCTGCAATATCGTATTGGACTTCCTCATCATTTCCAACTTCCACGTTGGATCCTTCAAGCCTACCATCCTCATGCAAGCCGGCATTCGCCTAGCCTGCGACATGACTTCCGCTCTGGTAGGTCTTGGTTACTTCATCTACCTCGCCACTAGGATCCAACGCCAGCATGAAGAGTCGGAGGAACGAGTGCGTCCAAACATCAAGGCCCTGATTGTGCTCGCACGACCTGCCATGTACACCTTCACCGAGTCGGCTATTCGAAATGCGCTCTATCTATGGATCGTCAGCACCATCATCGGACTTGGGCAAGATTATGCTACCGCTTGGGGAGTATTCAATACAATCCGATGGGGACTTATCATGGTGCCAGTGCAGGCGTTGCAGAATTCGACCTTGACCTTCATTGGGCATCGATGGGGACATTGGCGAAAGCAGAAGGAGGCTGGTGAGCGTAAACCTGCGGCGACATGGAAAGACGTAAAGAGTAAGTCGAGACCTTGGAGTTGGAATCTGCACGTCCTAACGCTCTCTAGCAATCATTCGCCCAGCCATCGTCTCCACTCTCCTCTCGATCGCCGTCGAAGTACCGCTCTGCTTATTTCTGTCGTTTTGGGGAATGAAAGAATTCGCGTATTACCTCTCAAATTCCGACGAAGTAGCTCGAATTACGAGGACGATGTGGCGTGTATGTATATCAACCTTCGGGTAAATCTTTAGGATGCTAACAACGCCGCAGAATATCGACTGGTGCTACATTTTCTACGCCATCGACTACCAGCTCGCTGCAATTTTGCTGGCTACAGTGCCAAGATGGTATCTCTACCAGTCACTGGGCTCCAACTTTCTTTGGATGCTTCCATGGGCCATCGTAGTCACCGTGGTAAAGATGTCGCAGACTGAAGCATGGAAATTCTACTCCATCATCTTCGGCGGCTCGTTGGTGTTCAGTTGCCTCAACGTGGCCCTAGTCCTGGGTCTATGGATCTGGCGATTGATGCAGGGGAAGGTCCGACTTCCGCCCGTAGTTACTCGAACCTCATGAGTCCAGGTTCCAAGATGCTAATCTTGGCTTGAAGGTTGGGGTCTCCTCAACCCGTCTAGGATTACTAAATACCGAGAATGCAAGAACCTCTATTTTCCAATCAGCAAAGCATGCCTACGACTCCTCTGGGAACTTCACAACCATCCTCTTCCCCGAAATCTCCCCTCTCCTCATGCGATCCAACGCCCCATTCACACTCTCCAACCCCCCCTCCACCACCTCTATCTCCGGCGGCTTGAGCAGCCGCTCCGCAAGCAGCACCTCCAACCACTTCATCAGCCCCTCCCCGACCTCCGGAACCTCATGAAACAGCTTGATCGGCACAGTATGATGCACGACCCCAGGCCTCCTCTCCTTCGGCAGCCCCGTCAAACCCACGAGATGCCTCTCCTCCTTCCCCTTCCCCTCCTTACCCTCCTCATCCGCCAGCGCATCTGCCAAATACTCCGCCGTCTCCTTCCCCACCGTATCCACCCCAAACCTCAACCTCCCCCCCGCCACGCCCCTCATCACCGCCACCGCCCTGCCCGGATCATGTGCATCCACCAGCATATCCGCGCCATGGCTCTGCAGCCTTGCACCATGCTTATGCAGATCCACGACCAACAGCACCCGCAGCCCCGCCAGCTTCGCCAGCTGCGAGATCAGGAACCCCGTCGTCGACGACCCCCACACCGCGATCCAGTCGCCCTTGCCCACCTCGCCGCGCTGCCGCTCCACGTACGCGAACTGGTGCTCGCCGTCTTCTTGCTGCGCCTTGCGGCACTCGGCGATCACGTCGGCTGGCAGCTTCGCGTCGGGGATCTTGGCCACGATCGCGAGCAGGTGCGGGCCCGCGGCGTTGGCGGCGGCGCTGGCGAGCGGCAGCGCGGAGAAGTCGATGCCGAGGCAGATGCCCAGCGAGAGCACGGCGGCCACGTAGGCGACGCCGAGGGCGGCGCCCGTGGTGGGCGGGATGGAGGGCGGCAGCAGGGCCGTGTTGGAGAGCGAGGCGAGGATGTAGGACTGGAAGGTGGATTTGGACGTGTTGCGGTAGTCGGTCGAGGTGGCGATGACGGTGTCGCCGACTTTTATGCGGGAGGGGGGCCGGGAGGGGGTGGTGGTAGTGGTTTTGGGGGCGCGGACGACGATGCCGACGGCGTCGCGGCCGCAGATGTGCGGGAGGGAGGGGATGCCGAAGTTGTAGTCGCTGTGGAGGGTTTAGAGATTGAAATTTAGTCAGGAGTTAAGATTCAGAAGCGGTATATTGAATTTTGGTGTTTTGCAAGAACGACGGGAGACGTTGAGTAATCTGGGATTGTGTACGTACGGTGCTTTCCAATCAATTGGGTTCAGGCCAATGACTTGCGTTCTTATCAATATCTCGTCGTCGTTCTGAGGCACTGGGATCGGGTAGTCTGGAGTCAGGGTATACGGCGTCTTGACTTCGTTGAGGAGGAGAATCGTTTGTGACGAGGGGAGTTCTGGTTCCGGAGACGATATGCTCGTCTTCTCAAGTCCGTCCGCAAGGTCGGTGTCCGAGCCTCGAACCTTCGAATCATGCCGCTCCCTCGTCATCGCGCCCGCTGGCTTTGGGCTGTGTTGCTTCGAAGAAGTCTCGCCAGCTTTCGATCCCGTTTTCGATTGCAATGGCCGTATCCAGCTCCAAACGCCCATGATCGAGTGCTCGTCGAGACCGTCGGAAGTTATATCAAAGAACGGGGTCGTGGTCATACTTCTCGATCTTTAACAGCCGCCATCAGAAGGGAAGAAAAAAGAATAAGAAAACTAGAGGAATCTTGCAAAGACTAGAACCAAACTATCGAAGTAGATCAGATCCCATGTCGTGATTATGAAGAATCGCGCGCCCTGACGTATCTCCGGCCCGCCGATGAATGTACCCCTCCGGTAGCGCTGTTCGGCGTAATCACGCAAAGGCTGCCTATGTAATCGCACAGGGGCGTGGCTTATCTAGGGATACTTTGTTCGAGCATGCCGGGTGGGGAGGTGGGTGGTTGGCTCGGCACGTGCATTGGCGAATATCGCGTTTGATATCCCTGTGGGCACGTAATGGGGGGCAGAAGCACGAATATTCGTGGAGATCGTTCGGGGTGATGGGTGCGAAGGGGCTGCTAGGTTAGAAAAGGTTCTTTGTTTGCGATATCGGAGTATTTTCGAGGGCTTATTGAAAGCCTAGGGGTCCATTCTTTGGTATGGTCACGTGAATGTCATGTGATTAGATCTGGGTAGAGGGAACTGGACGACGCTGAGGAATCATGAACACCTTGGAGAGATATTACGCAAGTCCTCCAGAGATCCTAGGATGGTATGTATAACGCAGAGGCCCAGACATATGGGCCCAGCCTCTGGTCATTCACCTTTTCTTTCTTTCAAACCGCTTCAACATCTCGACGCCGACGAGGTAAAGGGTGATGGAGAGCATAGAAACGGACGTCGCCACGTTCCAGCGAGCACCACGGATGGCACTTTGGAGCCAGGGTGTGTGCTCGGCCCATTTCAGCTGATAGAAGCCAAGGCCAGGTTGAGTGCGAGCATGAGGATTACGAGGTATGTGACGATGTCTTTCTGAAGACCGTCCGTGAACCGAAAGCCGTGGCTGGAAGAAAATGTTTCAGGGACTCGCAACCGTTCAACCCCATCACCATCCCCTCTCCACCCCTTCCACACCCCCCTCTCCATCACCACCAGCAACCAAACTCGGCCCCTCGGCCCGCCTCCTCCTCCAACTCCACTCCGTCTCCCTAATCTTATCTTCCTCATCCGCAACCCCATTCCCCTCCACCTCCGCCTCCACAAACTCATACACCCTCCACTCCGCATTCCCCCAATCACCCCCCGCCTGCTTCCCCCCCGCATCAATCATGCCCGTCAAATGATGCAAGAAGTTCCCATGCGCCGCCACCGCAACCACGCGCTCCTCGCGCGCCCTCAGCCACGCCCGCAGCTCCTTCGCGCGCTCCTCCAGCGCCGGGCCCATGGGCGCGAAGAGCCCGGTCTTGGAGTTGAACGCGGGGTACCGCTCGCACATGGAGAAGTCGAGCGCGACGGGCTGGCCGTGGAAGAAGGCGCGGATGGCGGGGACCGAGGAGCCCGTGTTGGAGGGCTCGGCGGAGGACTCTTGGGCGCGGGGGAGCAGAAGGAGAGAGGGGTGGGATGTGAGGTAGGGTTGGAACGCGATGAGCGAGGTCTGGATGCAGCGGCGCAGGGGCGAGGAGGTGGCGAGCTCGAGCGAGGGGAACACGCCGTGGGTTGTGAGGAGGTCGCGCAGTGCGCTGGCTTGGGAGGCGCCGTGGTCGGTGAGGAGGGGGTCGTGGATTGTGTAGTCGTGGGTTTCGTCGTGCTCGCCGGCGCCGTGGCGGACGAGGTGGATGAGTTTTTTGGGCATTTTCTTGGAGGAGTTGGGGTTTATGATGTAGAGCTTTAAGTTGAAGAGAGATCGAAGAAATAATAGAGGTGTTCTGGAGGTGAGATATGCTTTGCGATGATGGTATTTTCTGAAGTTTTTGTCGTGAGCTTTGGCGATGTCGTCATTGGTAGAAAACCGAGAAAAAGCAACGCTAATCGGAGTTTAGGGAAAGAAACCTATCTAAAGGGCTATAAGGCTGGTGGTTTGTGACCATCGAGCCTCAGTACCTGAGTTAGTCTCCTCTTCGTTAATATAAGAAATGTGATGGTTGATTGGGTGAGGAAAAGGTGGAGCTTTCGCCTCAAAACCAATCTTTGGACCCTGTGAGCACGGTCTGCATTCATCCGAACGGTGTGACGGCTATTTCTACCTGTAGTGAACGTAGTCTAGCGGCCACCAAAATAAGATCTATAGATCGGTCTATACCAGATTCCCTCTAGTAACTATGTTGCGATATACCGAATAGCCTTTCTCATCTAGGACTTCTGCGCCCTTTTGTCGTCTCCTACAACCTCCACACCACTATCCACATCGCTCGAACTGCCCGAGTTTTGCCTCTTTCCCCTGCCGCTCAAGACTGCACGGAACACATCGGCCAATTGTTGCCGCCCATCGATAATAGGATAGAATCCTGCAATAAACAAGGTGCCCCAGAGCCAGATGAGAGAGATCACGACCCAAGCGGCATAAAACTACAACGCATGGTTAGTATCTAACATGTCGCAAAGTATTGACGGGAAACATACCTTCTGCCCAAAAATATACTTGGACGCATACATCGGCAGCGGCCAAAGAACCCAATGCCCCAAGAACGTCGCCACCGCCCAAATCGCCGCAATGCGACCCCAGCGCTTGAGATGCGGCTGCGAGCTCACGTGCTGAGCCTCCAGCTCCTCTTCAAGAGCGGCGTCGGCGGCTGAAGTAGAGGATGTGTGATCGATGACGAATGCGAGGCGCTCTTTGCGGAAATCGGCCCAGTCGAAGTACTCTGGTTTCAGAAGCGTGATGAAGAGAGAGTACGGGATTGGCGAGGCGGCCGAAGCGACAGTGCCGTACACGCAGGGGAGAACTTGGCCAGTGGTCGCGATCGTGACGCTACCGTAAAGGGCGTATGCAGAGCCGAGCCAGACGGCGAAGCCGGTGGCCATGCCCAGAAGTGGAGAAAGGATGGCGGCCCAGCGGCTTTGTCGCCGCCAGAGAATGGTGAAGGTGGTTGGGAAGATGCCTGGGCAGGTGATAACTCCAAGCTATTATAATGTCAGCATAGATACACCCCTAGGGGACGAGGATTTTTGTTAGGTACCATGTATAGTGTCCAGCCTAGATCGACGCCGACATAGTGCAGCATCGTAGAGAAGCCTGACGCAAAAAGGGCGAAGAACACGACGCCAAAGTGGGACCAGCGAATAACATCCTTGTCGCTGGCCTTGGGGTTGATATACGTCCTGTATATATCGAAGCTAATGATCGAGCTTACGGCGATGACTTGGGCAGATAGTGTCGAGGTAACGGCCATGAATGTGACGATGAGAATTGCGGCAGCTCCCCCTTTGCCTGCGATTGTGATCGCGAAGTATGGCAGCACAAGACCGTTACTGATTTCGGTGCTGCTGATGGCCTGGAAGGTGTTACTTGGTGAATTATAGATGGTGCGGCCTTCACTTACTCGTGGGTATGTTGGAAATATTGGGTTATTCTCCAGCCCTAACACAACAGAGCTCGCCAAAGTACCAATACCCCATGGAATCGCGAAGTAAGCAATACCTCCAATGACATAGCCAGGAACCACAGCCTTGGGTGACGCAGAGAACGCTTTAATGAAGAAGCTCGTGTCCATGATAACCAAACCGAAATTGGCACAGATGTGGAGGATGCCGAAAAGGATTCCTCCCTTCGAGGTCATGGTCAGGTACGAGCCATGCTCGTTGCCACTGACTGGATGGCGTTCTCCGGCAGCCTTGACAAGGTTGTACAGATTGTCAAGGGATCCGACCTCCTCCAATGTGAAGGCTTTGATTGAGAAATAGCATAGAATGATGAGAATAGTAAAGGTGTGTATGTAATCTGTCAGGAAAGTGGCTTTGATTCCGCCGACGAAGGTGTATAGCGCGACTCCGACTGGAAGGAGGAACGTTGCCGCAATGATATGCATACCAGTCCTGGGGAGTTTAGCGGGGAGTTGGCCCTAAGTGAGCCTACTCAACTTACATGGCTGTGATAGCAGCAGAAGCTCCGAGCAGCATATTAGCGCAGGCGAATAGGTTATTTACTAAGCATAGAAACATGAAGACGACATGAGCGGTTTTTCCATAACGTATCCGCACAATTTCCAAAAGGGTATGAGCTTCTGGAATCTTTCTTTTGCAGGATATCCCTAGCACTGCGAAGAAAACGATCATGGGGCTGCATCCGGCTGCGAACCAGAATGGACCAGCAACACCATTGACGTATCCGACGAGTGAGGACCCCAACATAGCGGTACTCCAAAGCCATGACTAGCGAATAATTAGAATAAAACACTAAAGACCGGTAGAACGTATAAACGCACAGAGACTACAGCAGAAGCCGTCAAGCCTGTCTTCACACTACGATTGGCCGTCATGAACCTAAAGGTACTATTAGCAAGAGCTTAATCAAAAATTCAGAAGTTAACGTACATTTCCGTCTTCTCATTATCTTCGCCTACAGTACGCTTCAATATACGCGTGACAAAGACCATGGCTAGAAAGCGTCAGCATTCTGCGGTTCTCGAACAACGATTGTCTTACTAAAAGCAATCACAAGCCCTATGACTACGACCACGATGTACCCAACGGCCTGGGACAGTGGAGGGGGAACCGCAACCACGGCTTCATCGCGAGTGTCTAGCATGTTCGTGATCGTGATACAGTGCAGCCAAAATCACGAGGGGATAGGAACGCGTTGAAAGTGTCTGGCGAATGCTCGAGACGTGGAGGTAAATGATGGGGTGGGGTCGGAAGTAAGATATATATCCGCTCTTTCGGGACCTTTGCTGCCGATCAGAAAATTCCCAAGCACCTCATGTAGCCTCGTTCCACTATCAGGCTGATAGCGTGTACAAGGTTCGGACATGCCACGGGGCCCTGTAGATGGAGTACGCCCGATCAACGCCCAGGCCTTTGCTCTCTCCGAGGCCATGTTCGCGGTATCTGAAGATCTAGACCCTCGACGACGGGAATGGTTCGGGCTCCAGGGCCTTGGGCCCGAATAAGGCTTGAATGGGTATCTCAAATAGGGTTTCACGATGAGAAAAAGCAGCATCAGTGGTGATGAGCAGGGATGAGGTGATTATGCAGTGAAAAAACGTATTAAGCTTAAATGGACGGCGGTAAATAAGAGGGCTTGAAATGATGGAGCGGCGTCGACGAGACAACGATCTATTTCCTAAGGTGTTGTTTTGTGGATGCAATTGATAAGACCCCATGGTGGTGAGGGTGATGCGATGTTGGGTTAGAATTGCCAAACAGATCGCCGAAGCACGCCATGGTCCACAAAGAGACCGGCTTGGCACCCATCCATCGATGCGTGCTTCAGTCATTGGCCAACTCAACTCTCCCACGGAGAAAGCATGTGATGGTGCGATTTTTCGTGAGATTCTCCATCTTCGGAGCAAAACAAAGCTTGTTGTTTGTGCATATGCTAGGCCGCCTGGAGCGTCATTGCTTCCCCGGACCCCACGTAATGTGCTCGATTCTTTATCGATAAACCAAGTCAAAGAGGAACCCTCCCGAAAGTCGAAAGCCTTCAGTAATACGTTGCGAAAATGGCTTCAACCGAAATCCCCGATAGATCGAATGGCGCGTCGAAGAAGAAGAGCTTGATTCTCAATGCCTTCGTAATGATGTGCAGCGGGCATCAGTCACCCGGACTGTGGCAGCACCCCGATGACCATTCGTCCGAGTTTAACGACGTAGAGCACTGGGTCGAGCTGGCGAGAACATTGGAGGCTGCAAAGATCCATGGGATATTCATTGCTGATGTCCTTGGAGGCTACGACGTGTACGATGGCCCTCGAAACCTCGAACACGCAATTCGATCAGGCGCGCAATGGCCTACAAACGAGCCTCTGGCAGTTCTTTCGGCGATGGCAGCAGTAACCAAGAGTATAGGCTTTGGTGTTACGGTGGCTACCACGTATGAGCAACCGTACCATCTCGCCAGGCGACTCTCCACTGTTGATCACCTCACGAAAGGAAGACTTGGCTGGAACATCGTGACCGGGTACTTGGACTCGGCGGCTCGGAATCTCACGAACTCAGAACAGCCTGCCCACGACGAGCGATACGCTATGGCCGATGAATACCTGCAAGTCATGTACAAGCTCTGGGAGTCGTCTTGGAGAGATGATGCCGTGGTTTTGGACAGGAAGAAGGGAATCTATTCCTACCCTGATCGTATCAGGGAGATCAACCACAAAGGAAAGTACTATCAAGTACCCGGCCCGCATATCTGTCAGCCCAGTCCTCAACGAACACCTGTCTTGCTCCAGGCTGGAACTTCGAAAGCCGGGAAAACCTTTGCAGCACGACACGCCGAGGCAATCTTCGTGGCCGGCCACAGTCCTTCAGTGATAGCAAAGAACGTTGCAGAGATCCGAGAGCTTGCCAAGGAGTTTGGCAGAGATCCTCAGAACGTCAAGTTTCTGGCGTTGATCTGCCCAGTCATTGGCCGAACCGAAGAAGAAGCAGCTGCTAAGTTCGAGGACTATTCGAAGTACGGCTCTATCGAGGGAGCTCTGACACTATTTGGAGGCTGGACTGGTGTTGATCTTGCGAAATACGGCGACGACGAAGAGCTCCGCAATGTTGAGAGCAATGCTATTCGGTAAGTAGACATCCGCCATTGGTCTCGCGGCGAGGCTAATTCTTGAGTAGGTCTGCTGTAGAGGCTTGGTCCAAAGCTGCTCCTGGTATCAAGAAGTGGACAAAGCATACAGTGGCAAAACACATAACTGTCGGCGGGCTGGGAGCTACTGTCATAGGAACTCCGGCGCAAGTTGCAGATGAGTTTGAAAGATGGGTCCGCGAAGCAGACGTGGATGGTTTCAACATCGTAAGTAACTTCGAAGGGGCAACAGACGTGTACTAACAGTATCCATAGGCATATGCCATCAAGCCGCAAAGCTTTATCGATGTGGCCGAACTTCTTCTGCCTGAGCTGCGGGCCCGTGGGGAGTTCTGGGATGACTATGCAGTCCCTGGTGGAACATACCGAGAGAATATCTATAGGATCCCTGGTCAAAGTGGTCTTCTACCGGAGCATTCGGGCTCCAAATATCGATGGAAAGCGGGTGTTGAGGCCAAGGACCATCAAATCCCTGAGACGACTGTTCCCGAGTGAACATTTGCCACAGTGAAAGGAAGATCGGAATTTCGTTTCAGAGGTGTATCTCGGTATCAACAGGTTCTTACGTCCAATCGGATATAATAAGTAGTCTTTTCTTGATGAATCGGATGAAGCAAGTCGGTGTTTGATGGAAAACCGATGGAGATGGATGTTCTTCGCGAGAGGTTCAAACCGATTGTGATAACGTAATCACTAGTTTAAATTTTCGACTTCTGTTTCAACCACCATGATTCTTCCACAGAACTTTGAAAATCGTGACTTTCTATATGACCTTTCAACTGCGCGATACGATATAGTAAGCACCTAGACTCTCATTGAAAGATCGTGGCTACTCGCGAGAGCTCAACATGGACCGCGATAAGCGGCCAAAAGCACCATGAGGATCTTCCAGTGGATATGCCCTCCCAATCCCATAAAACCGACGAAAATATGGCCATAGAAGACCGCCAAAAGTGCCCCAATGAGGAGTGGCATGGCTGGCTTCAAGTCCTCGTATCTCATCTCTGCGTCTTCAATTCTTTCGGCTTCATCAACGCATTTGGAATATTTCAGCAGTATTATTCAACAACGCTCAACTTGCCCCCATCCACAATCTCATGGATCGGCTCATCCCAAGTGTTCCTCGTCTACTTCATTGGAACCTTCTCCGGCCGCACTTTAGATCTGGGCCATTACCGGCTTACTCTCTTCGCGGGACTATCCCTCCAAATCATTGGGATATTTACGAGTTCTGTGAGTACGCAGTATTGGCAGCTCCTCCTCTCCCAAGGCATCTGCAAAGGCCTTGGGGATGGATTAATATTCTGCCCTGCCGTCGCCAACGCCGCGACGCACTTCGCTGGGAACAGATGGAGAGTAATGGCAATCTCGAGCGTGGCATGCGGCGGTGCGACGGGCGGGATGGTATTCCCCGCCATCGCCCTAACACTCCTGCATCGCATCGGCTTCCCCTGGACCGTAAGAATCATGGGCTTCGTTATGCTCTTCAACGCCGTCGTCATCGTCTCCCTCGCCGCCTCGAAACCCGGTAAAAGGAAAAGAGGCCCGCTGGTTGAGTGGAAAGCCTTCGCCGAACCCCCCTACCTTCTCTACAACATCAGCATGTTCCTCGGTTTCATCGGCGTCTGGCTAGCATATTTCTACGTCCGGCCATTCTCTCGAAACGTCCTGCACGTCTCGGAACGCACCTCATTCAACCTCATCCTCCTCGTCAACGGCGTGGGTGTGCCTGGGCGCCTCGTTCCAGCTCTGATAGCGGATAGGCTGCTCGGTCCAATCAACACCTTCATCCCAGTCATGCTGTTCGCGGGCGTCTTCCTCTTTATCTGGATCTCTATCTCCTCGGTCGCCGGTGTCACTACGTTCACCATATTCTACGGCTTCTTTGGGGCAGGTGTGCAGAGCCTGCTCCAAGCCGCTCTTGCGAGCCTGAACCCTGATCCTAAAAGAGCGGGTATTAGGATCGGGATGGGCTTCAGCGTTGTGGGAATTGCGTCTTTAATAGGTAGTCCGATAGGAGGCGCGCTCATTGAGAAGGCGGGCGGTGCGTACTTGTACGCGCAGGTGTTCGCAGGGAGTATGATGATTGCGGGGAGTGTCGTACTCGTTGCGGCCAGGGTGTCGAAAACTGGATGGAACCTGAGGGAACGGATGTAGCTACCACAAAATGCGAAGGATGTCAGACTTCTTATTGAAAGTGGCTTCTTATCATAACTCATCTATGCGGATCCTTGGGGAGCAGATTAATTCTCTTCCTATTTACCCCCCCGCCACCCCGGCGGCCGGGGAAAATTTGGCTATGCAATGTCCGGGTTCGTAGACCACTACCTCTAGTGCTTCTTTTGCTAACTACTTCTGCAGACCTCACTTGGTCGCGGACTTGATCGCGGACTCGATCGCGAGTTCGTCTTCCTGGGCCCCGTGGCACCATTCAAACGGCCGGCTGATGATGTCAATACCTTATCCCGTCAACCGCCACCACAAATCTTCCGCGATGTTACACCTGCCTCACGGGTACGCTCCACCACAGTCGAAACGCCAGCGGTGCCACGAGATTTCCCCTCCACTACCACGACGTCGCGCCCAATCATCTTCTCCTCCACTATCGCAGCGTCGCGAACCCTCCTCGTTGTTGCCATACCGCACGCCTCTCTCAGTACAGCCAAACACTCGTTCCTTGGGACCCCAATCTGAGGCTGGCCGTGAGTATGAAGCTGGCCGCGAATCCAAAGCGGACCGCGAGCACGTGGAAGGTTTATCGGTGGTTAAGGACATGCTTCGTGGCTTCGAAAACACCCTAAAGTCGCGGGGTACTGCATTTAAGCCGATAGGGGTGCCTGCTGGGTTCAAGGCCTCCAGTATTATCCCTAGTACATTCGAGCTACAGTCAGCGGCCTCCAAGGGCAGTGCCATGCGGCATCTAGCAGACAACATGGACATCGTTGCAAGATCAAAGACAGACAAAACATTCACCTCGTTCCTGCTGGAGGTCGGTAGGTCTTACCTTTTGCGCCGCTGTTTCAACGCCCTATTCTTACCAACTATACCAATTGTTGCCTCTAACAACTTTACTGTTGCTGCCATCCGTGGGTTACACTACGGTCTAGTCCCCGGAGAGCGGAACTAGGTGTGTGTAATCATCAGCCTCTTCCGCATCTAAGGCAGGTACAGCGGACAGATTCTTTGTTATACAGAAGACGACCTCAGCGAGGCCGTTCAAGCGGGTGAATTTGAAGACCAGGACGTGCGCATTTTGGCAACTTTGCCAACCCAGACGTCAGTATTTTACGCCTGGACATTGGCGTCTATGTTGATGTTAACCTTTGGTACGTACCAGCGGGACAACCCGACGTTCGAGTAGACCCCCGCCGACTCAGAGCTTCTTGTTGCGAGCGAGCCGCTTCTGCCCGACTCGGAAGTGTGCTGGAGTTGTGGTGCGGAGACCAACTACAATGAACTCGGACCCCGAGACCCAGCTCATCCCTTCGCTGAGATGGAATGTCGAACGTGTTTGAACCCGTACTTTAACCCAACGGATGATGACCAGTCTTTCTCTCCTTCCCAACTAGAAAGTCGGCCAAAGAACCAAGGGATGGAGAATGACGTCGACGAGTGCCCCGGAACATGCAAGAAGCTATGGGACATCAAGAGCGAACAGTTCGTAGAGGACCTGCAAGTCACCCTCTGTAAGACATGCAGAGGCAGTTTTCCGCAGAGGTCAAAGAGTACATTAAGGCTCACCTCACCGACACCCCGTCGCCTACAAACCGTGCGTATATGCAAGATATACTCGAAAAGGGATCCTATTGGCGTGGCGGTGCTCGTGGACTATCTAAGAAAGCTATCATTTCCACCGTATCTAAAGTGCTGCCAAACTTTGCATCTACTTCAAGATACAACAAACTCATCGCAAAGCTGACCGCAAGGGAGACAAGGGCTGGGGAGATCTAAGGACGGTATTCTCGTCGGTGTCTGTAGCACACTCTCCTTCTATCTTTGCCTGGTGGTCTGTTCGGATGGTGGTCTATTAGGGTAATAGGTCAACTATACCAGTTATTCGCTAGCTTCTGCAGTAGTAGGCGTCGGGTTAGAATAGTTACTAGCCTTACACTGGTCTAACTAATATCCAGTTTAATATCTTAAGCAAGACTGAAATGTATTATAATTGCACTTGAAGCTGTCGCGGGGATCATCCGCGGTGAGTAGATACTATCGCAAAATGACTAAGCAAAATGGATAGGATGCTAAGCACAACGGATAGGATGCTGAGCACAACGGATAGGATGCTGAGCAAAACGGAGAGGTTGTATCATGCGTGCACTTGAAGCTGCTGCGGAGATCTTCCGCGGCGAGTAGAGACTCCCGCAAAACGACTAAGCAAACCGGATAGGATGTCAAACAAAACGGATAGGATGTCAAGCAAAACGGATAGGTTGTATCACGGGTGTACTGAAAGCTGTTGCGGGGATCCTCCGCGGTGAGTAGAGACTCTCGCAAACTACACCTACCCAGGCCGCTCATAAGCTGGCAACTCCGCGCCATACCCGTATCCATGCGGATTCGGCAGCTCCTGCGCCCCATAGCCACCATGCCCTCCCAATTCCGCCGTCTCTCCAACTGGACCCCCACCCCGGTACACCTGCGGCGGCGGCGACGGAATTGCGTATCCCGGCTGTGCGCTTGGCTGGCCCATGAATTGCGGCGCGCTGTTGCGATTGTGTTCTGCGAAGTGCTTATCCTGTGCCATTATAGGCACCGGCTGGGGAGGACCCGCTAGTTCAGCAGCCGCAGCGGCCCTCTTGCGGTGCCGGAGGAAGAGGATGAGTGCGATGGCGGCGAGGAGCGCGAGCGCTATGGCGCCGATTGCGATGCCGGCTTTTGCGCCGGCCGAGAGGCCGCCTGAGGAAGATGAGCTTATCGTCGGGGCCCCGGTGCCTGTTGACGTGGCTTGGGCGGCGGTTCCTGTGGCGACTGTATCAGAGGACTGTGCTGATTTAACTTTGGAGGAGGGTGCCGGAGTTGTACCTGTCGCGGCTTTCGAAGTTTTTGGAGACCCTGCTGATGTGATGCTGAGCGTGTTTGTCGCGTGAGCCGATGTGGGCACAGCGCTACTCTGGTCGGGTGGAGCGGTTGTTTGTGCTGCCAGTGAGGCTGACGAGGCCTCTGCCGCTGATTTTGATGCCTCCGCGGCCGCCGATGCTGAGGTGGCGAGAGCAGCCGACTCGGATGCAGACGATGCTTGCGCGGCAGCTGAATTCGCTGCCGCTTGAGAAGCCGACTGGGCTGCTGCTTCGGACTGTGAAGCTGCTGCTGCTTCAGACTGCGAAGCGGCTGCAGCGGCCGAGCGAGATGCTGCGGCAATGGCTGCGACAGAGGCTGATGATGAAGAGGCTGCGGCGGCGGCCGATGAAGACGACGCGGCGGCAGCGTCTGATGCTTTTTCAATAAGAAAACCGCGCGAAGGGACCTCGTCTTCGGTGTCATCGTAGGGAGCATCCTGGGAGCTGACAGTGGGCTTAAGGCGGTAGACAAACTTCCCGCCGTGGGCATCGATATCGTCATCGGAGAGATCAACTGCATACGCCCAAGATCCGCCGTGGCCAGAGTATACGCTCGCTATCGGAATCGCATTAGCACGAAGCGTATGGGTAAGGGCATTAGCGTGGACGTTAAGCAGAATGATGCGTACCAGCTAGACATTGCGTGTAGCTGTCGCCGTCGAAAGAAGTTAGCCATAAGGATATATGACTATTGTCGTCAAATAGATGCTCTCCGTCGACCGTAGGCTGGTAGGTATCTGAGAACGAGGTCAACTAGGGAAGAGGTCCAATTAATATAAAAAGTGAACTACCATTGACGATCCAAATGAAATTGAAGACTGTGCCTTGGACGATGGTATTAACAGGATCGAAGTCGTCCACATCTGGGTATGGTATAGAGAATCCGTACTGGGCAGCTACGTTCCAGCAGCAGCCAATAGCCCATATCAACGACAGCCGAAATACTGAAAGCGCCATCCCTCCAGGGACGGAGAAGACGCTGAGAAGGGCCTGAAAGAGCTGAAAACTTCGAGGAGGCTGAAGAAAACAGAACAGCGCAGGGCGGGCTACCCACAGATAAGGTCGACGATGCAGCCAGCGCCACAAAACGCCAAATTCGCTGTTCCATACCAAAATTGTGCAAGACAACTGCAAACAAGCATAAATCCCGTGGTCAGTAGGCAGCTTTGGCTGGCACGACAGCCAAAAGCACCCTGTGGCGTCCAGGTGTGCGGGGTTGGCAAGACGTGGTAGGAGAAGAGGTGCATGTTGCATGCAGGCTGCATCTTGGGGGCCAAAGAGCGACAGTGATTGTGCTTGTTGCGGGCATGAGAGCCTCAAAACCCCACGGCGCCAAGCTCTCACCTGACTCAGACCTTCAGCCTCGTCGGGCCGCCTTGCGGACGCATGGCGCGACTCAGCGAAACCGGTGTAGGCGGGGACAGCTTTGAAGTCAGTCATTGGTGGAGGCTGGGGCTCTTCCGATCGCCAGTTATCGGCTGCATCCTGAGGCTGCAACTCCGATGCAGAGGACATATTTGTCACATGTGCGGCTCGGAACGATGCCTGAGCCGTGCCGCATTGGGAGCATTGCGCGACGAGAGTTGGTACAGTAAAGCTTCGCTATAATAAACCGTTATATAACGAATTCGCAGTAACGTAGTCTGCGGGTAAGTGGGCCATGCGGGTGAGTGGGCCACCCCATTATTGGTGCGATTTGGGACGTTTTAGCACCCCAGCAATCTTAATAACCGCAAAATATAAAGTACAATTTAAGATGCTATATACTGTCTAGCTCTTTCTAATAGCTAAGAGAAAGTTTGGAGCAATATAGAGGCATAATTCGATTGTATTGTAAGTAATACCTGATTTCGACGGCCAAAACTAACCAAAACTTTACTACGGCTAAATAGGGCTATTGAGAAATCTGAACAATGAACATATGATATTAGAATAGTCACTTATATTACTATTCCAAGTTACAGCTTGAAATATTTGGTGGTCGTTAAGATAGCTGGGGTGCTAAAACGTCCAAATCGCACCAATAATGGGGTGGCCCACTCGCCCGCATGGCCCACTCACCCGCAGACTACGTTACAACGAACAAAACCTTAATCCCGGATTTTTTGTATGGGGAAATAACGAATTCGCGCTACTCCGAACTTCGTAAGGATTAGGCAGGATTCGTTTGTATGGGAAACCCCTCATTTGGGCCCCAGAACCCTCGAATTTGGGCGGATTTTAGGTGGGTCGGACCTTCGGGGGTGGAACTTTCACCCCTACTTGCTAACAAATGGTCTTATTTAGGTAGTTAACTATCTCGGACCTCTAGGACGCTTGATCAGATTACCCTTTGACGAAACCTCCTTACAACGAAAATAATCCTGAAATAAGTGTTTCGTTATAACGAGGTTTTACTCCGTACTGTAGGAAGAGATTGCAATGGTGGAGAGCCGGAGGCAGAGCGGACCACACGCTCGGACCAGGCTACGAGGCCCAAGAAAACGGCAAAATCGACGTCGGGCTTACCTATACAAATCCTTCATCGGCCACCGACTACTTCGCTTTTATTTTCAATGTGAAAATTACAGTCGCCTAAAATGCGGTACAGGAGAATTCTGCACGACTAAATGAGGATGGAGGTGAAACAATGCATTGAACGAGGTAGTTAAGTGATGTATTGGATGAGCATCTATCTAGGCTACGTACGCCGTATATATACTCTGTGTGTGTGGAGGCTTACGTAGCCGTCCCGTAGAACTGTGAGGGCTAAGTACAGGAACCGTGTTCTATATCAAGGTAGCCGAGCTAACCGTACCATACTCCGTAGGCTAGCTGGCTAAGAATACGTACTCCGTCACTATACATCTTGAACTTCCGTGGTCAATGCCTCTAGCGCCATCATTGAGAGCTTGATTACTTCTGAAACACGATGAAAAGAAAGCGAGACAATCTTTGATGTCAATCTTCGATGAGATCGTCTATTTTGTTTGAGGTACATCTCTTTTCCCGAATCTGCTGCAGGTAGTGGGCTCTACTGGTTATCAATTTTGTCGGTGTCAACCTACATTTTCACGTGTCATAATTCATCCTCTTTGATCTCGATCTTCCTAGCTTCCCTGGTTTTAGTCTATGGCCTGATTCTGAGAGCACAGAGTTTGCACGAAAAGTCGATTGATTACTTCGAAACAGGGATTTATGCCTCGTCCTGTATTTGGAATCAGAGGCTGGAGCCAGAAAAGGCCCCCGGTCGTAGGCCTTGCCTCAGCTTTCAACCTAGGGAACTCGCATCAAATTTCATGTTGAGGCCCAGCCAGTCCGACCTCAGAGATGGGTATCATAAAAGCTGAGAGCCTTGAAAAGTTTATACTTGCGTCCCCATCCTACCGAAATGAAGAAATCACGAGGAAGCCGAAATCCGAGCCATCTAGACGAACGCTACGGCCGACATGATGCACAGTCGCAGGATCCAGCAATCAAATCTGCCGTGACGCTTAAGGAAACCTTTCAAGCTATCTCGCAGTGTTGAACAAGCGGATGCCAATGTGAACGACATCGATCGCGACGCACACTCACAACGGACACAGCAAAGGTAGAACTAAAATGCCCCGACGCTTTGCTTTCCCACAACACCTGTTAGGGAGGAGCGGTGAGGGCCACGGCACTTAGGTTAAATTGATGTGAACTCTGATTTCTATAGACGTCTAGCTAGTTGTATATATACTAGGGGAAGGAAGGGGGGCCACCCCTGGGTGGCGCGCTAGTAAGTTCAGCTGAACACTGCACAGCTGAGTTTTCAGCTGGGCTCTCCACAGCTGAGATCTCAGCTGTGTTCTCTACAGCTGATGTTCGGAGTAGCCTTCTAGCATATGAGTTGTTGATCCTAGGTTGTAGTGCTGCAACCTGAGTACGGCAGGTACGTGTATATAGCTTCACCTTCCTTCAGACCTCTCTCTCTCTCTCCTCGACATCCTCATCATCTTCATCGAACACAACACATACAACGTCTACTCTCTCTCTTAAGTGACAACACCCACTTTTCTATTACCCATCGCTACACACAGGGCTACAACTGTGTCAATAGCCCACCATAGCGCCAAACGATGTGAATACACCGCATAACACATCATTAGTTTTTGCCGATGGCCAACCCGTGGACGTGGAAGTTGACCACCGATCGACCCGAGTATCCCGACTAAAAGATGTACCTGATGAGCTTACTGAAGCAATTCTACAGGGCATGGAAGCCCTTGAGCCGAACGAGCGGTTTGATATCCTCACCACCACATCCATACAGCAAATCAAGAACGCTCGCCTCTTATCTCGGCAGTTCTGCGCCTGTTCTTGGCGTTCTTTCGCGAAGGTCCTAGGACAGACTACGTTCTTCGCGACCCGCTCGAGCATGAACGACCTTGCCAGACTCTCGAAAATCACCGCGCTAAATACATGGGTCACAACTCTGACGTTCTCCGGGATGGTGTTTGCGAAACTCCGAGTCCCGCTGCATAAGTTGCACCTTGGCTGCGCGAACCTCTGCTCGAACGTCAGGTGTGCCGCAACGATCAAATCGCATACAAGACGGCCCAGAACCGAACTCACATATCATGCGACTTCGAGAAAGACCTCGCGGCAATCCTACCTCGCTTTGCTAAGCTAAAGCATCTACGGTACTATCGAGCCACCAACGGCCACATTAAAGAGTGGATTGCGTCAAAGCACTTTCGTCCAAAGTGCTGTTACTCTACCGAGGAGAGCGAATATCAAGACGGACAGGCGCATCTAGCTACCGACGAGGAATTCAAGGTCGATAAGCAGCCACCGTCAGTCTTATACAGCATCTTCAAGGTCCTGGGAAAGTTAGAAATCCAACTAGAGAGTTTCTCCACCCCATTCCTGGGCAATCGAGATACAGATCGCAACGCCTTGAACGAATTGAGCCTAGATTTTACCATTGTTAGATTCGACCTTAGGACGCTAAATCTGGACTGGCTGTTCCCAGGGCACGCAGCACCAGACCCAGACGCCTTCATGCTACCTCCGGTCGGTAATACGAACTCAAAGATCAAGTCTCTCACGGCGCGTAGTGGGGAGTCGGGCAAGATGATCGATCACACTAGAGAGCAAATAGACCAATTCGAGATCCAGATACACAAACTAATCAACCTCTAGTTATTTCCGATTGCGTCACTCAAGCACCTCTCCATCAACTGGAGCTTTCGCCCTCACACCTGGCTGCGCATGCGCTCTCTCCCTTGTGTGTTAGAGCGCCTCAAGAACCTCCGGACTCTCGATATCGCCTTCTCCGGCGTCGACGCAAACTATATCTACCTATGTAATCAGCTCTGGCCCGCATTCACCTCCGAAAATCTCCCTTGTCTCGAAGAAATCAAGTTTTGCTTCCCGTTCACGGATGTCATACACCTTGATTGCCTGGTCCATGCGCTCGTGAATATTCCCACTCTCCGCCGCCTAGGTCTCGCCTATCTGAACGTCGGCTACCCAATCAATTGGAGGCAGCTCTTCGCTGAGCTGGGAATCCGAATGAAACTGGAAGAGCTGTATCTGATTGAGCCGCTGAGCTGTGGCCAACAGAGGTGCTCATGGACTTGGACTTTTGAACAAATTCTTTCGGGTAACGAAGCTGTGAGAAGCGATTATTGGATGTTGAAGACAGATGCTAAGGTGGTACAGGTGGTAGGCGATAGTGAGGTTCAAGCGGGAAGGGCGCCGAGGGCGATTTGTTTTGGGAATTTTGGGTAGGTTTGGTGTATATCGGGCTCATGATGTAGGCCTCGGAGCACGCTTGGGGTACAGTAAGTAGCAGTCAGTCTACCGAAACGCTATCTGGGAGGCCCAAAGGGTCTCCAGACTAGTTATTTGCGGATTTCATGGGCGTGTCAAGTGGTGATTTTGTCGTACTAGTGGTGTAAAACTTCGGTGCGGATTTCTTTGTCTTAATGTGCGGCTTTTCTATTCGACAACTGCATACGAAGTAGGTGAGTCAAGCAGTGATACATTCTCCTACTATCGCTCTTACCTAAATTAGTTTTCGTAACTCTTATATCACATTCATCGAATAGAAAGAGCCAGAATTTCGCGCTTGAAGACTTCTGGTACGTAAAGCCTGCCCCCAATGAGCTGCACCTAGAACTCCAGATCTATGCCGTCGGGGTATCTACCACCAAGAAAATCTCATCGCCCAGAATGAGAATGAAACGAGATGGATATCGAACCATATCGAACACCTAACTCCCCTTCGGTCTAGACGCCGCCTCCCGGAAAAAGAAAAATCAAGAAATGACGAATCAACCGCACCAGGCTCTGAGCCCCCAATTGCCGCAAGCCTTCATTAGCTAGGCCATCTGGGCCAAGAATCCCTCTCCCTCCAAAATGTCGATCAGGTCAGGATCCGACTGCTTGCCTTTGTACAGCTTCAGGAACTTCGCTTTGATTAGGTCCTTCTCCTCCTCCGTCGGCTGCACCTCTTTCATTAAAATATCCCGCATAGTCGGGTAGAACTTCTCCCGCCAGAGATCAACCAGCTTGGCGTTCTCTTCCGGGTGATCGCGAAGGTACGAGTCCCGGCCGAAGGCGAACGACGCGAATGGGTGGTTCACCTGGAACTCGATGACGTGGCCGATACCCGGGAGATAGGCATATACGAAGCAGCAGAGGTCTTTGGGCATGGTCTCCCTCACCACGTGCCTGTCCAGGATCTCCACCTGTCCCCCGTTCTTGTCGGGCTTGATGTAGTACTTCCCGTCCAACTTCGTGATCGCGGCCACGAGACGCTGGATATTCGAGAGCATCCATGGCACGCCGGTCGGGATACGGAAGGAGATGAAGTCACTCACCGCCTTGAACTTGGAGAAGGACGCGTTGCCATGCTTATCATAACCGCCGTACGACGCCTTGACTTGGAAGCGGCCGAAGACCTTCGGCTCGCGGCGGGTTTCGAGGACCAGGTCGGGGTCGGCGGAGTGGATGAGGTCTTTGACCTGGAGGGTGAGAGCGTACGCGTCGTTCAGGACGTCCTGATCGACGAGGGAGTGGAGGTCCTTCCAGATCGAAGAAGAAGGGTCCAGGTGAGGGGCGTCGGAGGAGTCCAAGGCCGCGCGGAGCTTGATCTTGTAAAGAATGGGCTTATAGGACGCGAGGGCTGGCTTATACTCCTCGGACTTCTTTTCTTCGGGCTTGGGCTTGCTGCCGGCGAAGATGGTGTTGTTGGTGGACATGGTTGTGGTGGAGTGAGGAAGGTTTAGGTTTGAGTGTGCGGGTATGATGGTTTTATTGAGGTGGCAGTTGGTGTGGTGGTTTGAGGAAGGTGTGTGTTGTGTGATGGAGAGAAGAGGCTGTCGAGGCAAAGAAGAGGGGTTTTATATACGCTTGCTGGAGGTGTGGATTGCTGAAAGGAGGCGAATGTAATGACATCGCGCGCGCGCTCGCTCGCTGCCCGGCGGCGCCTTCAACACTGCTACCGTCTTCCTTTGCCTTCCATCATGCACGGACGGGCAGTCTTTTATCTATCTTCATTCACCATGAACGGTAGTGTTCTCGATCATGTCGTCATAGTAGCTCTTTCTCGTCGCCAGGGAGGCCGCTCTAGGCCGACATGGTAAAAGGTGGACTTCTATACGGTGTACAGTAAGAGGTCTTCCGATATGGCGACATTAGGCGCACACTATAGCATCTGGCCTGGATCTCGTATCGACGGTGTTCCACGGACAACTTCCGGATGCGAAGCTTATGAGGACTTGATAGCTTGATATACGCTGAAAGGGTTTGTCTACTGGGTTTGTTTCATTTCAGAGTTCGCGAATCGGGATCAATCACAGATATATTCCCCTAGTTTCACAGAGCTACCTTACACTTCTCCGCCAGCCACCGTTGTCTTCAAAAGCGCAACCTCAGTCCCTTGATTCAAAAGGTCGTGTCTCCTCGAAACGCTCTCCGGATCTAAGTACGGCCTCTCCCCTAAGCTCACTGCACGCTGTCCAGTCCTTGTCCCAAGTCCCTGATAATCCGGAGTGGCTGCATGGTACGTAGAACGGCTATTACCGGGTCAGTCCTCATCCCATCCATATTTCTATAGCTCACGTGACGACTTACTTATCCCAAATAACAACATCATTCTCGTTGTCCCAATGTACTCTGACCTGCAAATCATGGTTCTCTACAATCAACCTCAAGAACCAATCCAGCAAGGCCTGCGACTCCTGCTCCGTAACGCCGTTAATATGCTGCACGTGATGCCCAACCGAAAACACCGACTTCCAACCGGTCACGGGATTGGTGCGGATCACGGGATGGATAGCGCTGAGATCATCGCCCACGTTTTCCGGAGCCCCGCGCTCTTCGGTGAAGAGCTTGTAGCCGTTTATCGCGGCTGCTTTGCCGAATTTCGGCTGGCCATACGTCGCAGTGAGGGACTCGAGGAACTTTTGGTAGGGAGGTGAGATGCGGTCGAAGACGTCGTAGCCGGAGGCGAACATGGTGTCTGCTTATATCAGCATTTCACTTAATCTCAGATCTAGAAAAGTGGATTATTCTACCTCCCCCAGTTCTCGGCAGCTTCGTCAGCCTCAGCACCGCATAATCGCTCGGCACGGGCTCGAACGTGATATCAGAGTGCCATTGGTCCGTGTTACTCGCCTTGATGGTCTCGCGGTCCTGGACGCCTTTGAAAATGATGCGGCCACGGGTTGAGTCGATGACGCTGATTTCTTTGTCTTTGGTTGCGCCGTCTGAGGCGCCGATGTTCACGGTTGGGTGGATGTGAAGTTTAGATGTGCTCGGTTTTCCGGATAGCTCGCCTAGACGTTGGACTAGTTCTTTTTGGAGGTCATTGTTGAGGGCGTCTTGCTTGCGGAAGACGACGACGTTGCGTTGGGAGACTTTGGTTGTTAGTTTGGTGTATGGATTGGGAGGTGGGGGAGGGGTGGGGGAGGGGTCAATTTACTTTTGATAGCGAGGTCGCGAAGGAGCTCGTCGGAGTTTGGTGCGTGTAGCCAGTCTACAAGATTGATGTCGTGGAATTCGGTGCCGACTACGGCTGTGAGGTCTCTTTGCTTGAATTGATCGAGGATTCCGGTTGGTTTTAGTGGTGTTCGTTGCTGCTGGGTTTTGGACACTGGTGTGGATTCTGGGGTCTCGAGTGAAGGGGCCATTTTGGTTGAGTTAGAGGGGCAATTCCGTTATCCTTGATGATTGTGAAGGAAGTTGAGGCAAGTATTCAAGCGTATATTATTTCCATTTGCTCAAGTCGTTCATACAAGGTTCAAGCGTGTCGCATGGTTCACGCGAAGAAGGCCGACCTCGCGACGATGTCGCAATAACTGCCCTATATTTCGTATGTAGCAACCTTGTGCGCTAAAAATGTTGGTCTGATATCCATGTATCCACTCTTTTGCATGCTTGCACGCCGTCGTTCTCGCCAAACGCAGGCCCGAAGAAGCGCTTAGAAAGGCATATGGAAAAAGATATCCAAACTCCGAAGTCGGGATTCTATGAATTGTCCCACAGAGGAATAGAGGATTGCATACTCTCTGTGATGTCACTTTGGTCACGCTTCGTCGACTTCAAATTGATTTCACTGGGTCCCTTGCACCGAATGGCTAAGAGCATCAAGTCTCAAGTTCAAAAATGAGTAAATTCCACTTTTGTAACATGCCCTACGAGGTCTCCAGCGGAACGATCCTTCTACAACTTAGCAAGCGCGAAACGTCGGCCTGTAGAATTTGGGTCCAAGTACGGCTTTTCCCCAATCGAAACGATGCGGTTCCCAGAGCGGTTCGCGTCGTAGTCACTGCAACATTGTTAGATAAGAGATAGTCTCTTTAGCTATTTTACTTACAAAGTTGCTGTATGGAAGCATGATCGACTACTAGATGTCAGCTGAAGCTCTTTGGTGAGGTTAGACAATACATACTTATCCCAAATCGCTATGTCGTTCGTTCGCCATTTAAATCGCACTTGAAGATCATGGTTCTCTGCAATGAGCTGAAGGACTGCGGCAAGCGTAAGTCAGAATTGAAAATTTGGCGTCCAGATGCTTGAGAAGTCCTTACAGTAAGACTTGAGGATCTCATCTTCGCGTGGCGTTACATTATTGAATTTTCCGTCATGCACCTGATGCCCGGCAGCCATGAGACTCTTCCACCTGAGAGGGGTTAGCGAAGATTACAATGATGAAAGCAGTATTCCTACCCAGTCACTGGGTTGGTTCGAACCACAGGGCTTGAGTTATTAGCAAAGTTCAATCTTAGAGCATGTGGCGTGCATACTGTGAAGCTTCAAAGTCAAGACCTCCGTTGTCCGGCGAGCCTCGATCGCCTGAGATCAAGTCCTCGCCTCCTTCCTGGGCCGCCTTCTTTAAGGTAGCCTATGAGCGCAGTTTCAGCTTTGAACTTGGCGGTAGAGTAAGAAGGTATACGGACATTGTGATGTGTTGCTGTCAAGCTTTCCGCGAATCGTTTCCACGCCGGCGACAAACGGTCGTATGCCTCATAGCCAGATGCCCATATCGTATCGCCACCCGTCTCCGGAACTATCGTCATTTTCAAGACTGCGTAGTCCGATGGCACATGCTCGAAGGTGATGCTAAAATACGCGGAGTTAGCCGATTAGGAAGGATTGATACTTCCTTATATGATATACATACTCGGAATGCCACAGTGTGCTCGCTAGAGGTTTCAACGGTGAGACGTGTCCCTGGTGGGCTAGTTTGGCGTTCTAGAAGATGTCTCGTTAACATCAGTTTGTCCTTGAGGCTTGTGGCGAATGTTTGGGCGGCTGACCTCTGATGAAATTACCATCACCTCCTCATCAGGTTTCGGTTCCCCATCAACTACTCGTTTCGCTTTCTTATCCGTCATAGCATGACGATGCAACTGCATAACAATCGTTCAGCAACTACTGGCCTTCCTAATGAGGAGCGTGGCGTACCTTTGAAGTTTCTGGCTTTCCCGAAAGCCTACCGAGCTTCTCCCCAAGAACCCTTTGCTGATCGATCTCTAGATCTTGATTGCGAAAGAACACCACGCCGCGTTGAGAAACTGCCCATTGCTATTAGATCTTCCATGACTTTTCAACTCTTGATGCAAAAAGATCACGGTGAACCATACCCAAAATTGCCAGATCGCGAAGTTTTCTGTCATCAGAAAGCAGAGTGCTCAATTGCACATCTGGAAACTCTCTCCCAATGATTGGAGTAATGTCAAAAGACTTGTAGCTATCCAACGAGCCCGAATATTTCAAGGGGACTCTTGGTGTCTCCTTCACTGCTTTTGAATTCGCGTGAGCCCTGCGAATCGGCGCACTACTGTTCGAGATCACTTGGGCCATGGTTGTCGTCGCTCTAAACTTCACAAGAAAGAACTTCGCAAAAAGATGCCTTACAAGCAAAGGAACAACGTCTGCCACGGAACAGGTCCTTCCACAAATTCTTGTCCCATTGCGAGATCGGAGGCCAGCTGCTAGAACTCACGGAGATACCGTGGGTGTCCACTCTGGTCAAAAGTGGGCTCAAGACTCGGCCTTATGCCCGAGTGTCGTGGTGAGTGCAAGCCAAACCATAGTCATAAGTCCTCTGCTTTTGTATGTGCTCCGTGATTGGTGGAAATCTATCCCTGACTCAAGCTCGGATTTAGCCGCCTGTTGCGATCGTGGAACCAGCATATCCATTATCATACATAGTGCTAGCAAGGTCTCTGATGACGCTCTAATTCCCGCGAGTGGTCGTCCTATCCCTACAATGTGGCTCTTTCTCGCTACCGTCACGCGGGGAGACGTTCTCCACAAAATACGTGCTGACAGGGATTCTAAACGTGATATTCGCTTATGCACACGTCAAGCCTAAACACGACTAGCATTCCACTCTCAAGACCACGCTGTCAGGTGTTCTAAGTAAAAGCATATCTCTTGACTCGGGCGGTCCCCTAGAGCCATAAGATAAGGGAACTTTCAATCCGATTCGCAGGAAATCTGGTAGAAACATAGCGAGGCCGACGAAGCACCGTTGAGCGTGGGACTCTGAGTCTTGGATATTCTGCCATCTGGAGTACATGTGTCGCCATTTCGAGAACAGATCATCTGGACTCGGATGCGTTCGTCACCGCCGCGCACCATGGGGCGGAGTCTATGGCAGGAGGAGTTAGACAGCATCGCACCTCATTCGGGGGTGTTCTTGCTGATCGCTAGCGTTGGGATCTTGAGATTTGATAATGAGCAGAGTTTCAGTTAAGGGCTTCACTTGAAAAGCCCAACTGAGCTCTCTCCGGACTACATCAGAAATGGCGCTTCCTCGGTTGGCAGAGAACGTCCCTCGGCTGGACATCGATCATGTCAAACCCATCGGAATCGAAAACGGCGTCGATGTCTCTGCGAAGAACAGGTCTTGGAGAAGCTATCTGTGGGATACCTGGGACAAAAGCCCAGAGGTAATGGCACAACTCGAGGAATGGGTCCTGGATTGAATGCTAACTTTTCTAGGAGCGGAAACTGCTTTTCAAAGTCGATATCACACTCGTAACCTTCGGATGTTTGGGAACTTTCATCAAGTTCCTCGACAGGTAATACCCGCTAGGAATCAATTCGCCGAGCCACCATTGACCTCGTGCAGAGCCAACCTGAACACCGCCTTTGTTTCTGGAATGAAAGAAGACCTCGATCTTTTTGGAAATGTTAGTCGTCCATCCTAGATGTTGAAACCCACTAATTTTCGCAGCAACTCAACTATGCAAACGCAAGTTCGCACCAAATCCCCATTTGAAAACAAAACTAATGTTAAAGAACAGACTTCTTACAGCGTCGCTTCTGTAGGTCTTGACACTCATAAAGTTCATTATCAGCTGCTGATTTTCCTCAGATTCTTGCCCTCGTCCCCACCAACTTACTGCTCACTCGGACCAATCCCAAATACTTCATTCCGTTTCTCGAGATTGGATGGACGATATGGTGGGTCTCCTCTTATCTAGAAGAGCTGCATTAAATAGAGCTGACGAAGACACAGCACCTTTGGACAGTCACAAATGAGATCGCCGACCCAGATGTACGTCTTGCGGGCGCTTCTTGCAGTGTTTGAAACGTAAGTCTGCAAATCTAAATTGTCCAACTTATCGATATTAATTAAATCCTTGCAGAGGCCACTATTCAGCCAGTCAGTATATCTAATTCTTGAAATCGGAAATTCCGATCTGACTCCAGAACAGTCATGTTTCTCTGCGGATCTTGGTACCAAAAAGGCGAACTCGCTCGAGTAGGTTTCTCTAAAGTGGCTCAGAGGGATCCGTTACTAACTCCTGAATAGCGACTGGCAATTGTCAACATGGCAGCGCAAGCGGGTCCGATGTTCAGCGCGTATCTTCAAGCGGCAGCGTATAAGGGATTAAACGGTGTCCATGGTCTAGCTGGTTGGCAATGGGTAAGTTCTCCATTGCAAATACACCATTGATGTTAATTATTCGGCAGCTCTTCATTATCGACGGTATCATATCTCTCGGTGTCATCGTCCCGCAACTTTTCCTGCTCCCCGACATACCATCGCGTTTGAAGCCGAATTTCATGTTCTCTGCGGAGGTATGATCATGTTCCTCCGTCTGGTTTTCTGTAGCTCATAGCCCCCTAGGAAATCGAGTTGGCCAGAGATCGACAACCGAAAGAAGGTCGGGTCAGGCAAGGGGCATTTACCCGTACCCAGGTTATACGATGGTTTACGACTCCTGAGATCTGGATCCTATGGTTGATCGCCGCGTAAATATTCTCCTATTCCTTCGCTCTCATCTACCACTAACAATTCACAGCTCTCAAAACATCGGATACCTGCCAAACCAATCGATGGCCTTTTGGTTCAAAGCCTGGAACAAGATAAAGAAGGGGTCCTACACCGTTCCGCAGATCAGTACGTCTCTTCACCGACAGTCCCCGCGAGCTTTCCTAATCAGCAATTAGACAACTACACCACGCCTCTTTACGCAGTCACCATCACAGTCACCACCCTGATGGCTTGGGCGAGTAAGTTAGAAACGTTCACATTGTAATTTTAAACCGGTACTAACGCAGCTCCCCAGGCGACACCATTTTCAAAGGTCGCCGCTGGCCTATGCTCATCTTAGGCGCAACCGTCAATTTCATAGTCTGCATCCTCCTCGCCACCACCCCGGTATTCCCTAAGAACAAGGCCTTCCGGTGGTTCTTATACTACCAAACCGGCTGGGGAGAGGCCTCGAATTGGTAAGTCGTCCATCCAAGTCCCCGAGCTCCTCTAACACCGCGTAGCATGTTCTGGGCGTGGACAAACGAGATGCTCTCTGGAGACCCTGCTACGCGTGCTTTTGCAGGCGCTGGGCTCCAAGTCTGGTCACAGGTCTTCGCTGCGACGATGTAAGTTTCTAAAAAGACTCGGAAGTGGCATTTTCTCTAACAGCGATTTCACAGTCCGCTCGCCGTATTCCAGACAGTTGATCAGCCCGCCGTCCGGTCTGGCAACTTCACCGCGGCCGGGTTCTGGATTGTCCAAATCATCTGTGCGTCTGCGTTGGCGTATATCCTGCACTTCAAGCAGGAACGCGGGATTGAGAGTTTCCCGGCTGCCGTGGCGACTGGGCCCGTCAGTGCCCACGCCAGCCTTGAGAACGTTGGTGGGCGAGATAAGAAGGTCGATGTCAAGTCACGGGTCTTGGAGGCATGATCGATTACCTCGACCAAGCGCTCTATTGATCAAGGAAACATTTCGTTGAGATATAGTTGCGACTTAGTGAGGTGTTGGAGAAGGGAGGAAAGGGACGTTAGGGATTGCATTCGCAGAGGGGCTAGCTATCAAAATCAAGGAACAGTTATATTCGTAGAGGGTTCAGCTACATAGCGAACCACTCTTCGAAATCAAGCAACCAAAGATGTTTAAACCAAATCGTGTTGATAGTTTCTTAATGAGTATGAAAAAGGAACTCTTAATTTTTCGAAAAAATGCCATATCGCGGGACTCAACGGATGCCTTTCTCCCCTCGCATCCTTCGGCATAGCGATCCGAGATAACAGTTATCCAAGGCCCCCATCAGCTTCTCCATTCGCGGCATCCCCCGAATAAGCATCATGGCGTGCTCGTCGCATCGGGCGTAGCTATCTGCAGATCGCTTAACTACCACCGCTAACGCCGCTCCATAGAAATATTCGCCATAGCACCCCAGGAATGCTTAATATTCGCTAACTCAAGCGTGAATCGCGTAGTTCGCGGACTAGCTTTTAGTTAAGACCGTGGACCCTCAGTCCGGGTGCGGCTTTCCCACCGGGAGTGCTAGCTTTCAGCCCTGCTCAATTTTTGTAGCGGTACCGGCGATCTTTAGTCGTGGCAGTAGCTTGGGCGATGCTTGATAATATGATCGTGAACTAGGTTCTTTCTGCCTCGAAACCGCGGCCAGCAAACTTTCATTTTTCGTACTTTTGGTTTTTGCAGCAGCAAGAATGGCTTCGAATATCAAAAGAGTAGCCGTTATTGGCGCGGGGCCGGCTGGAGCCATCACCATTGATGCGTTGACCGAAGAGAAGACATTCGACGTCATCCGCGTCTTCGAGAGACGAGAGAAAGCTGGCGGGATATGGTAAGAACCAGCCAAAACGACGATTCTCAATAACCTCAATACACAATTCTAATCACCGGATTCTAGGATCGAGGACAATAATAACCAGCCCCGGATACCATCACTCCGAGCACTCATTGATCAGACAGCCGACCAGCCCATTCCGGTGCCTGAAACGTTTCCGGCTCTTACTACCCAAGAAGAGAAGATTAATGGGAGAGAATATCGGTATACATACACCCCTGTGTATCCTGGGATGATCAGCAACATCGACGGCCGCATAATGGCCTTCTCGAAAGAGAAGTTCCCAAAGAACCAGGAACCAGACGCCAACGGGGTCATTGATCCCGATGCCGCGTTCCACAAGAGCGAAATCATTCGAGGATGGGTCGAGAACCTGATTGATCGGAATGGGTACCGCCAGCTAGTGGAATACAACACGTCGGTGGAGAAAGCGGAGAAGGTTGGGAAGGAGTGGGTGCTGACTCTGAGGAAAGCCTTGCCCGGCGGGAAGCACAATTACTGGTGGCAAGAGACCTTTGATGCGCTGGTGGTTGCGAGCGGGCATTATAGTATCCCTAGATTTTCGGAGGTGAAGGGACTCGCGGAGTTCAGTGAGAATCACCCGGGTGTTGTGGAGCATAGCAAGATCTACCGTGGGCCGGAACGGTATCGTGGCAAGGTAAGATTGAGCAATTCTCATAAAAGAAGATATCGAGTACTGACTTGAATTTTAATAGACTGTCGTCACCATCGGAGCTTCAGTGTCCGCAACGGATATCGCTCGACAGATCGCAGCCGTAGCAAAGTCTCCAGTGTACTCGTCGATACGAGAACCTCATCGGGTATACGGCACAGTCCCGTTCGAGCATCCTCAGATAGCACTGAAGCCTACCATATCGCACGTTTCTACGTCCCCAAACAGCCGAACAGTTTACTTCTCAGACGGTACCAAGGTCGATAATGTGGATCATATCATCTTTGGCACTGGCTACGACTTCAGCTTGCCATTCCTTCCATCTGTTAAGATTGCGAATCGCCGAATTCTGGGGACGTATGAACACATTTTCATGCAGGATGACCCGACATTGAGCTTTGTGGGAGGGGTGAGCTCAGACCTTTCCGTTCCCAGGACAGAACTAGCTAACAAAAAATAGGTCTCGGCAGGGTTCACTTTTCTGGTCTTCGAATGGCAAGCCGTTGCCGTGGCGCGGTACCTGGCTGGGCGTGCCCAATTACCCTCAAAAGAAGGCCAAAAAGAATGGGAAGAAGACAGACTCAGGAAGCGAGGGGATGGACAGCCATTCTTCAAGGTGGCTCCCGACTTTGAGGAGTACTTCGAGGCTCTTCGGAAGTTGGCTGGCGAGCCAGCACCTGGTGTTCCAGGAAGGCGGTTGCTGAAATGGGATCCAGCGTGGCTAGCGATTGCGGAGAAGACGATGCAGAATCGAATCCAGAACTGGAAAGATACCGCTGCGCTTGTCGAGAAGCAACTCAAAGGAGTAGAGTCAGCGAAACCGGCTGATACATACGTAGAACGCGCACGGCTATAACGGGAAACAAGCATTTAGAATTAGACAGCCTCACAATGCAAAATAACCCATTTCTGGCGCAGTCCGCACGCGCCAGTCACGTGTTTGAGTGGGTCCTACCTAGGCGCAAAGGAAAGAGGTTTGGGCAGTCAACGCACCTGTGCATAATAGTGTATTGAGAATATCCATTTCCCACGGTTGAAGGCTCGCAGGTTGCCAGCCACGCGATCATTTCGTAAAGATGTAAATCTGCGGAAAGATTCACAGTGCTCTTATTTTGATGCCCGTGATATAACGTTGTAGGCTCGCTAGAACGGTGAAGCGTGGTGTACCTGATGTTGAAGCTAATGAAATCAAACTTTTCTCTTAGCTTGAGGTTCACCTACAACTCATCCTTCCTTCTTACTACCTTACTCTCCCTCTGCCTCAGCCTATACAGCCCAACCGAATGTCTCGGGATCATAGCCGACCACGTCCCTCCTGGCGCAATACTTCCCACCTTCAACCCAAGCAGAGCGGTGTCGTTATTCAATAGACCCTGCGCATAACTCGTTGCAGTGGCGTTATACCGCGTAAGCGTACTATTCGTATTGGCGGTCAAATTCATCGCGGTGCCGTTGATGATAGCTCCAGCTTCAGCATTGCTCATTCGGTTGGCCCAGAGATCATAGCTGCGGCTTTGTTAGCCTCATACTTGGTAGGCAAACTCGATGGTCAGTCTATCCGAGAGTCCTCAAAACTTACACATCCCACGTCTCACTCAACTGCGGAGGCGCCTGATACGCGCCTGCTGTCCTAGGATCCAGGAAGATATCATTCATGGTGGCGTTCATCATCATACTCGTATTTGCAGCGTTCAGCAGCGCAACCACCTGGTCGGTGTTATTGAGACTGCGGGTCCAGAGCGCTATTTCGCCCTCACCGGTCTCGTCTGGGTCCACGAAATACCGCCATTTGCGGACTGCAGCGGTCGCGGAAGGGTCTTGGTTGAGTGCGATGACGGCTGGGTTGGAGTAGATTGCGAGATTGGCGGGAGAGAGAGTGAGTACGTTGGTGCCTATTAGCAGTGGAGAAGCATTCATTGCCCACATGGAGAAGTGGACGACGTACTCGTTGTCTGTAAACTCATTAGCTTGACTCTGTACTGAGCTATGGAGAAAAGGTTGCTTACCGCTCTGACCTCCGTTCCCGACTTCTAACATATCCATGTCATTGAAGTACCCAGACATCGTCCGGGACTGAATTGACGCCATCTACACAGTCTTATCAGCCTTCATCGCCAACAGATACATTATTTTGGTCACGCACCTTATTCAAGATATTCATAACGGAGCAATGAAAACCTGGCCACGCGCACCCAATCGCCTCCGTACACGGGCAGCGACTATCCGGTCGATTGAACGAATCATACACATCCCCAGACATACGCCCTGAGTTGGAAATCGTGTATGCCCAATCATATGGATTGTCATCGCCCCAATTGCACTATGGGATCGTTAGCCCTAATCTGGTTTTCCCATCTCCCGTTTTTCACTAGATATCTTTCAACGTACCAATGAATACACAATCGGTCGTCCCGTTCTATTCAACGCTTGTGACATGACGTTGTACCTATTAAACGAGATCTGCGCCGTCCCAGATTGGCCTTGATTAAAGCAATTATCGTATTTCAAATAGTCTGCGCCCACGGAGGCGAAGTAATCGGCATCTTTCTGCTCGTTACCCAAAGAGCCAGGGTAGCGACCACAGGTGAACACGCCAGCGGAGGAATACATCCCGAATTTAAGGCCAAGGGAGTGGATCGTATCAGCGACGTATTTCATTCCCTAGGACCATCAGCATCACATGCCCACCTTCAACTCTAAAAACCCCGCTTCATCTCAAGGCCTGAAAACTCACATGCGGAAACGTCTTCGCTGCATCAAATTAGCCCACCTATCCAAACCAACCCCAAACGCCCCAAACGCCCCAAACTCTTCAACACAGTGAGAACCACCGCACTCACGATTCTCAACCAAAAACCCCGTCTCATTCCTCCCAACACTCCAACAATCATCCAACACCACATACCGATACCCCAAATCCCTCAGCCCATACCGCACCATCCTCTCCGCCGTCCTCAGCACCAACGTCTCATTCACATCGCACCCAAACGCATTCCAGTTATCCCACCCCATCTGCGGGACCAAGTTGAGCCCGTTGTACGACGACGCGCCGGGGATGACGACGGTGCCGTCGGCCGAGACATACGACGCGACTGGGCGGACGAGGGCGAGGGCGAGGGAGAGGAGGGAGACGAGAGAGATGAGGGGGACTCGACGGCGGGAAAGGAGATGCATTTGGGCGAACTGGGGCCTGGGGGTGGTGTTCGCGGGGAAATTTGTGTATATTTAGAGCAATTTTAGATCGTCGAAAGTTGCAGCTCATGAAGCTGGGCATGGCGGTGGGTTTTATACCCTCCGCGCTCACTGGACTCCATACTCGCGACACGGCGACCCAGCAGCTCGAGAGGCTAGCAGCAAAAGGGAGCACGATGAGCCGCTGCCAAAAAGCTCTACGTTGAAAATTCAAGGCGCGGCCGTGACCGTTGGGGTTACCGTTGTACCGCAGGTACGGTGCGCCGTCGTCATCGTGTGGAGTCGGTTTGCGGGGTTGGCGGCAGCACCGGGAAGATCTGGGATAAAAAGACCATGATTGCCGACAAAGTGTGTAGTTTTGCCTAGGTTGCTGACAGTGAAGTCTGGGGTGTGAAGCTCGGGATGAATCTCGCATAGATTTTGGGTTGGTTTTGATGGGTGAGTTTTGATGGTGAGAGAGAAGGTGGAGGGCGGTCTGAGGTTGTGGCGAAGCTCAGAGGGAGAGCCGAGGGGGGCTGATTTGGGAGCACTTGGAATTGGAGGCGGGAAGACAGTCTGGATTGCACTCTGATCTAAAGGATACAAACAAGATAGGATCTTGAAGACTTGAAACACTGCATGGCACACTCCTGAGGTCGTGACTCCACGCTTTCTCGTTGTCAAAAGCTACCTTCTCGAGACACCACATGTTGAATGACGCTGGTGGTTCTGACAGAAGAGGAAATGCAGATATGGCACCAATCGAAAAGCACCGTTCCCAGCAGTCTGAAGCCAATCAGGAGATCACATTTATATACTACAAATGCACCATATACACAAGAAACACCGCTCCGCAATGCAGCAACCCCCATCCCACCCACACATACAAATACATCCCCTACCACAAAACCTCCGTATGCACCACCCTCCCCTCCTCCACCCTCCTCTCCTGCCCCTCCTTCCCACCACTCATGTTCATCCAATGTTCCGAAATAACCCTCCCCCTCCAAACCCGCGCAAACCTCTTCGCCGCCCCCTCGTCCTCAAACTCGACCACATACCGCCCATGCACCTTCTTCTTCAGCACGTATACACTCTGCCTCAACCGCGCCTCCTCTGACTCGGGCCCCACGCCCCTCCCACTCCCACTCCCCGCGCCAAGCTCGCCCTTAAACCGCGCGACGCCCCGCTCGCCGCCAAACTGCGGCGCGGCGTCCAGCTCCACGCCAAACGTCGGCTGGAACTCCGCCTCGCTGCCGCTCTCTAGATTGATATCGCGGAACAGCGTACCCGCCTCGCCCACGCCGAGGGCGTAATACCCCGCGCCCGCTTTCCGCCGAACAAGACTCTCGAGTCCCACGATATCGCCGAGGTTGAGCACGCCCCCCAGCCCACCAGAGATGGGCCACAGCATCCCGCGACGGAAGCCGTCATGCTTAATCGCGTTATACAGTATGCGTCGCCCGAGATTGCGGCCCGCGACCTCAAGCAGCACGCGGCGGCCGACCTCGCCGTTCTGGCCCACGACGCCGCGGTAGCCGCCGTGGTGGACGAGGGCAGCGAGCAAGGGGTTGAAGGGGGGTGGTTCGAGATTCAAGTGCAGGGAGAGGCCCGGGACCGCGAGCGCGTAGCTCTTGATGAGCTCGTCGATGTCCTCGCCGTCCTCGCAGAAGCCCGGCGGCGGGGGGATGGCGTCGGAGATGGATCCGGCGGTGTGCATCGACGCCAGCTTGTGGATGCGGGCGGCGTTGTTCTGGTAGGCGTAGGCAGCACCGGGGGAGGAGAAGAAGAGGTAGTAGTGGTTTTGGCGCTGGAGGCTTGCCGTGTCGCGGCCGGGGACGATGCGGGCGATGCCGCCGGTTGTGGGAGTGCTCCACTGCGGGATGTGGGCGCCGTGCGGGACGAGGCGGTGGAAGTCGGCTTCAGTGAGGGTCGTTGAGGCGTTGGTGAGGTGGAGGACCGTGGTGGAGTTGCCGCCGGGGAAGATGTTGCGGTTAGCAGCTGAGGATTCGAGTTTCGCGGCATAAACTTGAGATGGCGATGGCGCCGGAGTTGGATCGGAGGGAGAGGATACTGCGAGATGGCGAATGAGGCCGGATTTGGGATTACGCTGGGATGACTTCAAGGTCGCGGGTGAGTTGAGTTTCGGTACTTCGCGGGAGTCGAGGAGAGTAAGTTGTCCCTGCTTCACAGTTTCGGGGAAGAGCTCTTCGAGGAGGGAGACATTAGGAGTTTCGTCTGATGGTGGGGACTGGCCCGAGGCAGACTCCATGCTTTCTGAATCCCTCCGTACGTCTAATTGAGATAATACTCGCGAGTCGTTAGATTCATGACCGACCTGGCGAGTCCATTCTTCGATGGGCTGTCGTATGACGCCCCCATTTGCGGATCTCGCCTGGGAATAAAGCGAATCTGATTGGATCTGCGCGCCAGTCTTTGCGGACGTCGAGTCGTCCTCTGGTTCTACGTTGAGTAGCCTCCGCGATTCTTGTCGACCACCCTCCCCCTTCCCAGTCGCGTTGCCTCCCTGGCGCGATTGTTGCGACGAATCCGAGACCGCAGCACTCTGGACCAACTGGGGAATCTGTACATGCAATTCCTCCTTCAAATACCGGTCAATCTCCACCTTCGTCAGCCTTCTCACCAGCTCTTCGACCAAAGCCAACGTATCTTGTGCCGCCAATGGATCTTTCGAAGTCGTTTTCCTGACTAGCCCTTGCCCTTCACCCGGTAAAACTTCCGATGCTGGCTCGCTAACCTGCAGCCCATTGCTCATTTTCGGAGCTTGTGGGACAGACTTGTTGCGCTCAGGCTCATCTCTCAGACGTGAAATTGGCCGTTCATCAACGAAGGAGACCAGCGGTTTCTCGTCAGCCGTCAAGGCTTCCCATGCTGTCTCGCTGAAACGCCTTCTCGGAAGTTGTGGGACAGGCTTGTTGGGTTCGAGGTCATCGGTCGGACGTGAAGCTGGCCAGTTGGCAGCAAGAGATATCTCGGGTACTGTCGAAAGTACCGCTCTCACGAGGGGAGGCCCTTCGTCTGCTTTACGCGTCTTCTTGCCCGGCTTGAGCGAAGGTGCGATTTCTAGGAGCCGCTGCAAAGCGTCGCCTCGCTGTGCGCTGACGTGCATGTCTCGTAGCCGTCGCTCAAGCTCGACACAAATACGCTTAAGAACAGAGATTTTGTCTTCTACAGCGCGAATCTCCCTTTCACCAGGGGACCTTTTGAAGTGTTCAAGCGCTTTCTTCCCGCGACTCCGAGATACAGAGACCGAACGAAACAATAAATTGGCCTCAGCTATCACGGCTTGCACAGGCGACGTTCTTGAGCACGCTTCTCTACGACTCCTTATCTGGCGCGCTCTTAAAAAAGATGCACAGAGGCCGGTGGCTTTCAAAAGACTGGAACGTGCCTCGAAACAGATTCGTAGTATCTCCAATTTGCCGGACGAGTCAGATAATGACTTCAACGACTCGCAACACTCTCTGAGCAGTTCCCCTTGCACTTCGGAACGTCCCTTAGCCTTACGTATAGCGTGCGTCAACGCGGTGTCGTCCCGTGATAGACTCTGCGAGGAATCAGGCAGAGTCGTTGAGTGACTTGGCGACATGACTGGGCTACGCATCTTCTGTGGACTTTCTTCGCCTGCATCTATGGCATTTTGACTGCTGCGAAGTCTCCGCTTCTCTTGAATAATCTTCTTCTCACTATCAGATTTTGACAGATACTCGAGATACCTTTTCCAACTTGCGAGTCTCGAATTGAAAATCTCAACCAACCATTTACCGTAAAATAGAGCAGCTTCAGCAGGCGGCAGTCGAGACGCTTCTCTCACTAGAGCATTGTTTGCCTGTACGCTGCGGAAGTCATCACAAAGTATCCTTGTTTCTTTGACGGTGGATTCTGCCTCGGAAAATAGGTTTAGCATGTCGGATTTGGCGGCAGGGCCGTTCAGAAGTTGCAGTGCAACGCGAGTTTCTCTAAGAAAATTCTCATGCAAGTGATGAACTCTTAGAGACGCCAGGATAGCGTGCCTCAAGGACGAGTGACTTTCGGGCAGGATTTCCGAAAACTTAAATTGCTTCTGAGCTGGACGTGGCTCAGTTCTTCGCTTTGCTAACTCAGGTGTCGATGTCCCAGTGTGTACGATGTCATCAACAGTGCTAGATCCGGAATGCGCCAGTGGTTTCCAACGGTCTCGTTCGGGATCCTCAACAGTCGTAGATCCAGAATAAACCAGCGGTTTCCAACGGTCTCGTTCGGCATCCTCAACATCGCGCTGTTGCTCCTCTTTCGCCCGTGCGCCCCTTTCAATCGCACCCGCGAGAATCTTCTTAGCATGCATCCGCTCGCTGCGATCTTGCCGGTCTAACCTCCTCTTAACTGCAGCGTTCCCTCTCCTCCCGCCATCCGCCTCCAACCCCGCCCTCCTCTTAACCCTCCTAGTCCGATCAACTATCCTCTCCTCAACACCCACCTGCTCCAACGGCGCCCCCGCCTCTCTCGCCTCCACCCGCCTCTCTCGAGTTTGGATACGACCTTGCGGACCTGCAGCAACACTAGGAAAATCCAGGTATTTCCGTCCGTACGTGTGTTTCCGCAGCGGGACCGCGGCCCTCTCCCGTCCTTCCAGCAAACTCCGCGCCGTCCTACCCTCGCCAACCCGCATCTTCCCCCTCCCCGCACCACCAACGTCCCTCCCAATATATTTCCGTATCCGGAAAAGCTCCATCCCCTCCAGCCCCCGCGCCGCCGTATGTCTACCGAGCCCATCCCCTTCCCGCTGCATCTGCGTCTGCGTCTGCGTCTGCGTCTGCGGGCCCCTCCCAACCCTCCCGCCCCCTCGCGCGCCAGCATCCTCCTCTCCCAGCGTCTCGCTCCCAGCTCCAGCTCCTTCTAGTCTCGGCATCCCCCGCGCCCCCTCCTCCCCAGCCGGCAACCCCACAAACCGCCTCCCGACATACGCAGGCGCGGGCTCCGCATGCGGCCGCGGCTCGCGAAGCGGCGACGCAGCTTCGTACCGCGACGCGGCGTCCACCCCCGCGGCCCACGCGTCCGCGGCGTCTTCCCGCGCGGCCTGGCCCGCGGTGGCGTAGGGTCTTCGCCATGCAGGTACTAGATCGAAGTCCGGGTTGGGCCCGCAAAGGCGGATGCGTTTGCGCGGCGGCGCGGCAAGGGCGGTGGAGAGGGTGGTGAGGGTGCTGCTCCAGGCGGGAGCGAGGGGCCGCGGGCGGAGGAGGGAGGGGGGTGGCATGGGCGGGATTTTCTGGGGTGGTTAGGAGGGCATTGTGGGGTTTGAGTAAGAGAGAGAGCCGTGGTAGAGTAATGGAGGGAGGTGGAGTTTTGAGTTGAAGGTGTTGGGAGATGGAATGGATGGGATGGCGCAGGTTTGGGGGAGCTGAGCTCGGACGTCGAGAAATTGTTTTGGGCGCGTGTGATTGGACGGCGTGGGGCACGGGGATAGGGATGGGAAGATACATATCAACTTTGGATGGCTACTGCATATACTGTTTACGTGTCTCTGTTCTGCTGTTAGTTGACTATCCCACTAATCAAGGGGTGTTCATTGATTTAAATCGTGTAGTCAATTCATCTATCATAACACCATGCGACCCAGCCCCCCTTACAAGCGTACTTTTACACCCATAAATGTGTCTATGTCCCCATCCCAGCCCAGCACAGGAAATTCAAATGAGCATCTCTCTCTCCATGTAAACCACCAGGGCATGTCAATCACCACATGGCCGCATTTCAGCACTGAAAACGCCCCCAAAGCTCCCAAAATGAAAAAATGAAAATCAAAATGCCAAACTCCCCCACAACCAAAAGAAATGGAGTCAAATCGCTCAAGCAAACATCTTCTTCAACTCCGCACATGCCTTCATGTACTCGTCCCGCGCGCCAGGCGATTCTCGCAGCGGATTTGGCGCTTTGTCCCATCCATGCGGCACGCCCGGCACCATGCGGTACATGACGTTCTTCCCCATTTCGTCAACCAGCCTCTTTCGTAGCCGCTCGCCCTCGGCGAGTAGCATATCCCATTCGCACGTAAACAGCGCGATGTTGTCCGGCAGAGCGGCGAGCATGTGCGCTGGGGCTACGCCAGGAGATAGGTATGGGGACGATTTATCGAGAGTCGGCGGTTGGAGGTAGGACTCGTCGAAGAGTTCGGTGAACACGGCGGGGAGGTCCTGGTCAGCGCGGATGCAGGTCATGCGGCGCTGGGCGCGTGTTTGGGTATAATCCGTGGAGGGGTAGAAAGCGACAATGCCGCGGAGGTTAAGCTCGCGGGCGATTGGGCGGATATCAACGGTAGCACCATCCTTCTGGGTGGAGAGCAGAGAGGCAGAAGATGGGTTCATGGAGACGGTGCCAGGGAGGGCGAGCGTAGAGGAGGTATTGGTGGTTATCTCGGACAAGGGAACTGAGAGCTGGTTCGTGGAGCCGTTCACGTTGTAGGCTGTGGGGGCCGATAGCCAGGCAGAGGAGGCAGAGCCCGCGGTAGTGGGCGGGGCGATGCCGGTAATGTGCTCGAGGACTTCGGACTGCAGCCGGAGCGGGACAGTAAAAGACATGTTTGCGCCGGAGGAGAAGCCAGAGACGGCGAAGCGGTCTGGGTCGAGCATCAGGCTGTTGGCGTGCTTGACGAGGTAGAGAATGGCATCTACGCCATCTTCCACAGCCGTCGGGAAGGGGTGCTCAGGCGCGAGTCGATAGTTGACGCTCACGACGACTGCGCCAACCTCATCGACGACGGTCTTTGCCCACCGAGCGTCGTCGTGGGCGGTGCCGAGCGTGAATCCGCCTCCGTGGAAGTTTACCACCACTGGGAAAGTTTGGCCCTTCAGCTTCTTATGCATATGGTATGATTTCGGCACGTAGAACTCGAGGTCGAAGTGACCCTTCGTGGGGGAAACGGTGGTATGTACACGACGCTTGAAATTGGGCCGTGGAGGTCGAGGCGACGCCATCCGGTGCAGCACCATGCCGATGCCCATAAGGACTCGCCAGAATTGGGCCTGGACATGGAGCATCCATCGTGGACGGGCCATGTCTTGTTGTGAGCGAGCCAGCGTGGGGAGAGCCTCGTAGGGCGGAGAATTTGGGGGTGGAGGGTAAGGGGGAATTGATAAGGTTACGGGCGAGCAGATAGCCTCGAACGCATGGATAGATGGGCGAATATATGCAGCGAAAAGTGGAGAGACCGGAAAAGTCGGCGGGGACTATTTTTCTGTTACTGTTGGGCAACGAGTGCGATGCTGCAGTCGTAGCGCAGCAACGGGGCTGTGTCGTTGTTTTGAAAGCCAGGAGAAGGGAGCGACCTGGCTGATGACGCAACCACCTGTTCCAAATCGATCGGCGCCAAGTGCAAGCGGGCCAACCCAGTGAATGCTGCCCAGGTTGCTCTGCAGTAGGGCGGAATACTCGCGGGAAGATATCGCCTTCTAGAAGCACGGCATCACACATCGCCAGCTCGGCAAGACAGAGCACATATCATGTGTTGCGAGTTTCGCAGAATGCAACCTCATCGCCCTGCAGACATCACCACACCATCACCCAATCGCATCGCATCTCCAGCACCGTTTCAGGAGTTTGCAGCCGCATGAATTCACGCGAGCCTATCATGTTATCTTGCCTCGTCACCCGGCCGAACAAAGCGCGCAATACTCGGAGTACTGTACAAAACAAACCGCATTACCCAAGCATCACCCCTCCCGGCGGACCGTGTCGCAGGACCGATACGCGCGTACGGTAAGATGGAGTAACGCACGGTAAGCAGTGTGCATGCGCCGCCTAACCCAAGCAAGAAGAACCCCAGTACCCTTCAAAAAGCCGCTCAAGTCCTCAGAAAGCGCCAGACGCTGTCCTCATGATGCTGCCGTGTTCCCATGCCATGCCCAAGATTGTGGAAAGGAAAGAAGGAAAAAACAAAGCAACCGCCGATGTCGCTATAGGCATAGATCTGATCATGCGCGTGCATCACGCCGCCCGAGACTCAAACGCCGTACCAGAATGACAGACCAGAGGATCCTGGTGTAGAGATGTGAAGTATGAAAGCCAAACCACGAGAACGCCACCGGAAGCGCGGCTTAGACGAACTCGTAGTCCTCCTCCTCCACACCGTCCTTGTTGACCTTCGGTGCGGGAGTAGCAGCCTCGGCGACATCCAGGACATCGTACTCCTCCTTGATCAACTTGTCCGTCTCGCGGACCTCAAACCGCTCGATGGCCTTTGCAAGAGCTAGGCCCAAGATCTGGCTACCCTGGCTGGGGCCGCGAGCAGCGTCATACGAGTATGTGATCTCGGCATCTGGCACAGGAGCTGCAGATGCCTCGTCCACGGAGCCCTCATCGGCGGAGGAGTCGCCGCTGGCGTAGTTGATGTCGTTCTTGACGGCTACGCGGGCCTTCTGGCGCGGGTCTCCGGGGCCCATGTCCCTAAGCGTACTGGTCAGACATCACGCTACATGCTGTGCATACTGGTACTGTAGATGCTTACTTTGGCTTCGCGTAGACTGGCATGCGAGCTGGTCGGGCGTGGTTGTCTTCTGCCCGTCGGCCTGGACCGAGGGCCTGGCCGTGAGCCCACTTCACCCTCTGTCCCTTGCTACGGTTGTATTCGATAGCGCTGCTGCGGAGGTCGGCGGTGGAGAAGGTGTTCTGGTCGGCGGACATGATGGTGCTCAGGGGGGTGGTAGGTGGAGGAGCGTATGGATGTTGATAGTGGCTGTGTGAGGACGACGCGGGAGGTCGAGTAGCTAGGCGGAGTGCTTGTGAGGAAGAGGAAGCGTGGTGAGAAGATGCCGAAGACGTCGGGTGGTACTAATAGGTAGCCGGGAGCAGTTGCTGTGCCGGATGACTCTGAGGGTGCTGAGGTGAGTCAAGGAGGCACCTGCAAGTGGTGGCTGTGCTGGTATGGAGAGGCCGGATCGAGACGGTGTTTGCTGCTTTGTATGCGAGCGTCAGTGTGGAGAGTATGGAGCGTAGGAGGTAGGAGCAGGGCAGTCAGCTCGGGCGAGGCAGCGGACAAAGGCGCGTCTTTGTTGACTTACGAAGCTCCGGGTACGTAGATAAGAGCTGGGTCATGGCACGGGACGCCCGAGACGCCCCGAAGGCGTCCTCAGCGGGGCTGCGCTGCCATGGTTTGCATCTTGTCACCCGGACACTCGCCGATGACAGCATCAAGCATGCCTCTCACGTCTCAGGCACGCCGAACGTGGACCTGTTGGCGGCAGCGGGTTCCTGCTGGCGCACCGGCATGCATCATCGTTGCAGCAGGCTGGACGAGAGTCCGAGCGCCGATCTGGGGTGCATCCCTCAAACACCTGATACAAGCAATCACGTGATTCCCATACAGTCTGTGCAGTACTCCTCCCAGCATATAGGCAGGCATGGTATTCTCGGCGTCACAACTCATCGACGATGCCTCCAGCAATCACAACACTGGCAACCGGAGTCCACCGATGCTCGCCGTAAGCTCCAGCTGAAGCGCCTGCAAGGGAGCTCCAGCTGTCGCGAAGCACCCCGCGAAATGCTATCTAAAGATAGAGCCTATCACAGCCGCCCATCCCTCCACCATCACCCTTCATTGCTCTCGTCACTCGGCCTCGTCCTCCACGCCCTCGCTGTCTTCATCCTCACTCGATCCCTCTTCATCGTCCCCCACTTCGCTCGGTAGCACGTCCGGAAACCACCCGAACCGCCCCAGGTCCACCGAGAACACGCCCATGCTGTCCTCCTCCACGTGCACGCCTTCTCGTCTGAGAGACGCAGCCTGTCGCGCCGCGCTGCCTGGGCCTCTTTGTTGTTGGAAGCATTAGCGAGCATCCCGGCTTTGTTCGCGAGACATCTGAATAGATATGTCCGCTTTGCGGTATTCTGGGACTTCAGTCATACCTCGGACTAATCCCCCCCTTGGCATTGATCACGCGCTGCCACGGCACGTTTCCACTATGCCATCGCGCACTGCGCCTACTGCTGTCGGTACTGGGCAAGGGGAGGTGCTTGAGACAGACGCCGACTTGTCTTCACGTCCGCATAGTCCCATCAGCCACTTCTCGTCCGCAATACTCACTCTACTAACGGAATAGATACCAACGCACCGTGGACATTCAGCTACGTCAACCGTTAGCTTTGACTCCTCAGGCGTGCAGATACGCGCCCACATGAAAGCGTGGGGTGGTGAGGTTGTGGCGCTGGGCAGGATGACTCTCAGCACGTACGCTTGCCTAGCAGTCGCGCTATATGACCATACGACGTGACTCTTCCACGGGGTATCTCCCCTACCGCCGAGTACACGGCTTCGAACCATGCTGCTGCTTCTTCTGAGCGCTCGCCGCCGCGCGCCATGGTTGTTTTGGAGTTGTTGGAGGAGTTTGAGAGGGGAGAGGTGAGTTCAAGGTTGGTAGGCGACGCGGGTGGGAAGTGGTAGCGGTGGCGCCAGATCACGTGATCACAACCAATCTATCGATCACTATTCACGTACAAAGGTTTGCTACTATCTGTCCGAGACAACAATCAGCTTTTCAACGTTGTGGTTTCCATGGGCAAAGAAGTTGTTCAAACTAAGCAGCAAGCACCCATGTTTTCTAATATTTACCTCAATCTTTCCACGTCGCGTCTTATCACATTCAAAATTTTCACTGTCGCATATGTTGAAAGAACAAGTTTCGGGTTGAAATATTTCTCATTCAGGTGTTCTAGAGATGGAATAATATATTCCAAGGTCGTGACAGACTTACTGCATCATCTACCTCATACCTCCATTTTAGATTCATTCGGAGAGCAGATCGGAAGATTTTTTCATGGAGACCAGCAGGCATACAGCATCAACTTTCTTGCCTGCCAGCTGAGGTATCGCTAAGTCAGAGGACTCGGAAAGACGCCTGATGGGCTAGGGCGCGCGGCAGACTGTCTGCAGGGGCGCGATCTATAGGAGCTCGCGGCACATAGGGCATTTCTTACTATTACCCATGCCGCTTTGAAGCTAACTGCTTAAGCACCCGACATGGAAAAAGTGCGTGCACCTAGTCTTCACCGGGCGATCGTCATCGTCCGCACTCATTTCAAGTGCGAGTGTGCATATGGGGCAGTCGTCGATCTCCTGAGGTAGCGCACCTTCGATCGGAACGATGTAATCTTCGAGAGTACTAGTCTCTGACCCCCTCTCCTCGGTCAGCGCATATGGATCGCCATGTAAGACAGCAAGATTCAGCTCATCGTCGGGTAGCGCCTCATAGAACCGTATCTGGTCATCTTCGTCCGGCAAAGCGATTATGACAGACTCAAGCAAAGCCACCCATGCCACTTTTGCGATCGGACCCCACCCGTCGTCATTTGGGCGGTAATCAGGTAACGCACTGTTTTCAGACGGGTACATGCCCATCAGCTGCGCAATAGCGAGTACCACCTCTCTGACATTGATGGCATCGTGCACTCTTAAGAGGACCCTGCCGTAGCAAACGGATTGTCGGAGACGAAGATGGGCCTCTATTGTCAATTCCTCGAGGTAGTCTTCATCGCTAGCTCGTGGCTCAGGCCTATAGGTCCTTACGGCTCTGCTTGCAAGGTCGGCGGCGACCTGGTCGACCCAATCTTTAATCCCATGGAATTGCTTAGCCGTCCTAAAGGGATTTGGTCCCAGCCTGTGCAACGCCACGACCACGCTTGGGAAGGCGGGAAGTACGGGTTGGCCAGGAGGGCTTTCCAGCGGGAGACGCAGATCTCGAAACGCTCCAAAACGCACACGAGCCACGTCGAATTGGGCCCGCTGCTCTGCACTCGGCAACACGTCATACGCAGCCGCTCGCACCGCGGCGGTCACGAATGGATCGATCGTTTCTGCTCCCTCTCCCCACCTCCAATCAGGCAGTGGACCGTCCTCAGAGGGATGTTTGCCAGTCAGACAGGCGAGTCTGAGTGCCACTTGTGCGGGACTATCGCGGAGCGCCGTGTGTACTGTCTCTGTTATCAAACCTTTGGTCCTGATGTCATCGAGATCCCTCTTGGCAATTTCGGTCATTCGACGTATGAGGTACGGATGGCCAGTTTCTAACGGCAGCAGGCTGTAAAAAGGTTCAGAGTCTGACTTCCAGGCGACACATTGGATCCAACTTTCGATAGGTTTGGCATGCCGACCTATTTCGACGGGGCTCGCTAGCTGTTCGAACGCAGAGAGCACGTCCGGGAAGGACGTAGCGGACGGGATGTGTGAAGATACCTCCATGATTGTTGTTTGTGGAGTTCGGTGTGGATTGCTTGACTCCGTTGGAGGTAAGTGTTTGCGGAAAGTTGGAGCGTTGTTTTGTTCTTGGGTTCCAAGCTTGCGTTTAGACTTCTTCTACTAAGTGGATACCGATGCTGATACAAAGCTTGAAGCCCTATATACTCTGGTTTTGAACAGTGCAGACGGTATGGACGGGGTAGTGAGCAATTGTTGTTACACAATGGGCTTTCAAGATGCCAGGTAAGTTATTAGGCGCATTGTATTTCTTGTACTAACTCTCGTCAGGACTCGATTGCGTTGTTCATTAGTAGTCATCCTTTCCGTATATGACTTCGAATGGTCTTTCTAAGGTTGAGCCTTGCCAGCTAATCGTTCGCTGAATCAGCTCTATCTCGGGATTCTTAAGCATTGAGCTTAACACTCCTCTTTGCGGTCCTCACTTCTCAAATTTCTTGGCAGCTAACCTACCTTGTATACTTATAATGACTCGCTCGGAAAGTTTAGAACCATGCTTCAGCCCATGATATTCCTTCACCCCTCCGGAAACACGTTCCATCACAGCGACAATTTCCAAGTCACTCCTCACCAAAACTTTCAACAAAAGTCACTTCACGATCCCCATTAATACTTCCAACCAAAGCCACCTCCACTACCAAATGAGAAGAAGCCAAGAACTTCATATTCCGGCGGAAATCGTCGAGAAAGTAATTCTTTCCATAGAATAGTACGAACCAAATGAGCGTACAGGTGTGCTGACCTCCGCGTTGGTTCAGGCTATCAAGGACGCCCGCGGATTATCATCAGTCTGGCATTATGCAGCTTCGAAGTCGTTCGCGAAGGTTGTAGGACAGTCTCCTTTCTTTGGAACACGTGCCAGCATGATGAACTTAGATGCCATTTCACAAATTCAGCACCTTGGTCGCTAGATCAGTACGCCAACGTTCTGCGGCATGGGATTTAAGCAAAACCCCGGTCTGGGCCCAGAAGATTCACTGTTTGAGGAACATCAAGCAATTCGAACCGATCAGATGCTTTACACTACCGGGATTAGCTATGCGTATCGTTTAGCCTCGCCAGTGCCATATCTCGAGTCCGAGTTTGAGGAGGACCTTGACAAAATCCTACCCCGGTTTCCAAATTTGAAGCATCTTCGATACGCTCCAATGGTCGAAGGTCACCTGAAAGGCTGGTCGGCCGCTGACAAACCCTCTACGGAGGGTATATACCCGCACGAGGGCACGGTAGATTATCAACCGATGATACTTGACCATATTGCTGAGGTTCTCCTGTGGAACAATATCCAGCTAAGGTGCATCCCTGCGTAGAAACCCTGCGTGGCGAGAAAATCAATAGGTACATTAACTTCAAGCAACTCAAACTCTATGCACACACTAATAATATTTCCCACAGTTCTATATAAGTCGTCTGCTGTGGCTACTCCTAAATAAAACTTCAACACTTGTTTCTATAAGTTAGCTGATTGAAAGATGCTCGAAGCTTCGCTATAGCAAAACTTTAACACGTGTTTCTATAAGGCAGCTGATTAGAAGATGCTCGAAGATTTACTGTGGCCAATTAGGAAGCTATATATTCACCTGGATCCCTGGCCCCTCTATGAAATAGAGATAAAAAAGAAAATAAGAATAATAAGTTAACTCTTCACAAACGCTCTATATCAAGCACACTTTCACATATCCAGACTCTTCCAGTTCCGACACCAATGCCAATTTTCTTCCCTGACGCTGCCGAACATGACGGCCGATACTCTGACGGCAGCCATACTAGCTTCTTAGAATCACGTGTTATCCATGTCCTATCTGAACTTAACGCCAGGCCTTCGCATTCTAGAGTCTGAGGGTCTGTCGCAATTGGTGTAGGAACTAATCGAGTTGCACTAATACTGATAGTCCCACTTGTAGTGTAAAGATACGAACCGGTGGTATCAAACGATATATTCTCGAGCCCCCTGCCAACGTCGAGCGTCGACAGGCAGGCGCCGCTGCTCGCATCCCAGATCTTAACGGTGTAGTCGTTCGATGCCGACGCCAGCCGGGTTGAGTCGTGAGAGAAGGCCACTGACCTGACCGAAT